AATGTAATGTAAATTCACCAAATGGCTTTATGTCTGTTTTGTATAGATAGACCAGGAGAAAATTGATTTCAGCAGGGTCTAGGTTAGGTCAACCACACAAATAAAATGATAGTGTCACTCCCTTGCTCTTAAAACAGGATCATTACTTTCATAATCCAGCTACCAAAGCTCCTCTCTAAATAAACCCGCTCCCCATTTGACACATTGCCCTTGACCTCAGAGAAGCAGAACAAGAAGCATCAGTGATGACTTGCCCTCACCCTCAGGTGGGCCCCTCTTGGCTACACTGCGGGGAGCGTGTTAGGTTTACTGCCAAAATGAAGAACTAAAGCCACTTAAGTGGCAAGTTTCTGCCCAGATTTCCATTTCTGAGCTGTCACGGGTTGATGCCAAGCCTCTTCCAGGGTGCCTGCCTCCTCCTCCTCATTTCCACTCTGGTTTCTTGTGGCTGTGTTTCAGTGTATTAAAACTGGGTGGTTTTCATGATTGATTGAATGTGAAGGTCCCCAGCTATGAGCCCTTTCAGGAATGGGCACCACTGTCTGGAAGAGCATATGGAATCTTCTTCTCTCAGGTTTTTTAAGAATAATAGAGGCTTCATCCACCCAGACTGAATTAGTTTCAGTTGTGCTCCAGAGAGGGGATGGCTGACTTTGAGAGGCATAACAACCAAGAATGCTGTGGTCCTGACTCAGACACATCCAGGATGTCCTCTGGGGAGCAGCAGACAGAAGCCTACTTCATTGTATCCAGAGGTAGATCTGGGCAAAGATGGCCAGATGTCCCTATTTCCAAGAACCAGTCAGTACTATGATTTCCAAAAGTCCTTTTCTAGACACAGAGTGATCATCTTAGGGTGAACATTTGATGATGATGTATTGAAGCAGGTCAAGTTTGATGGTGGGTTCCATATGAACATGAATGACTGTGCAAATCCATCCCCTCCTCAAGAAAAACACAGTGGCCTTGTCCTGGCAGTACATCATTTAGGCCATCTCCCTAAAATCGGATGGAAGTATCGATAGTATTTCTTGGAGTATGTATTATTGTCCTCCTCTTACAGATGAGGAAACTGAGGTCCAGAGAAGCAAGTAGAACCAAGGCTGAAGCTTCTTCCACAAGGATGAAAAATTGAAAATAGATTTGTCACCTCACAACCGTAGAAGCAAACTAAAGTCTTTTGACTGTTACCTGATGTAGAGCGGGCCTGGCGATATCTGCTGTGGGGCTGTCAAGACCTGAGTTTTTATTCCACCTCCCAGATAATTAATGGCTCAGTCCTGTGGGTGCTGATTGCATTGGGATGGGCAGGGGACAGGGAGGAAAGATAGAATCCAGCTTGATAAGATGGAAGAGCTGAGGAGCAGCTTACTGCCATCTGTGTCACTTCTCTCCTCATCCTCATTTCCTTCTCTTTCTGTCACATAACTTGTCCTTCCACATACAAATCCAAAGGGCAGGCTCACAAGGAGAATGGCTTGTTAGATGAAAGAAACTGGGAAACTTGTGGCTGCCTGTTTGTGTTTTCACGCTGGTCCATGCTCTTTTTTTTTTTTCGGGTGTGCTGTGCAACTTGGGGGATCCTAGTTCCCAACCAGGGATTGAACCTGAGCCCTCAGCAGTGAAAGCAAGTGTGGAATCACAACCACTGGACCACCAGGGAACTCCCTGATGCTGGTCCAGATGTGAGGTTTCTTGCTGTAATTCCAATCCCATGCCTCATGTGCCAGAGACGAGTAGCAAACATCCCAGCTGCCCGCACTGTGGATGCCCACGTGCCACGGCCTCGCGGCTTCATCTGCCACTATTGCATTGGAAGCAGTTTGGATAATTGCTCTCTTCAAATGGGAGGATGGATTGGGATTGCACAAGGCGCTATTATTACTTATTGGGATAATAAGTAATACTTACTGGCGTCTAATAGGGATTTACTCCCAGTTTGTTCCCTGTTCCAAATCAGCCAGTCTGGTCAGGAGAGACTGTTCCCCTCTAACTCCAATACCTGCCTTCACTTGGAGGCCGGCCCTGTGGTGTCCGGGCGGTGCAGATGGCCAGCGCCACCCAGTTCATGGGAGGACCTGCCCTTCCCTTTTGCTCTGGCCAGAGACAGGCCTGTCACTGCGATGACTCTCACAGATGTCCTTCCCCTCCTGCCCACTTCACTTTTCCCCCGGACCCCCAATGTATCACCCACATCCCCCTTCTCCATGGTCCCTAACAATGAGTAACTTCTCCCTTTCTACCTCAACTTCCCACACCCTCTTTTCCTAAATAGCAAAAGTTAAATCCATCAGCATCAGGAAAAATAGTAAAATGTTAGGCTTTTTGAAAAGAGATTCTGTACTGAGTTCAATAAACTCAGCTAATCAGTAGCAGCTATAACATTATTAACAACAACACAACCATTAGCATGTATTGGGTGCTTACGGAGCACAGCCTAAGAGGCAGATATCATCAACCCTGACTTGACAGCGAGGGGCCTGAAACACAGGGCAACGAAGGGACCTGGCTGAGGCCACACGGGCGGTGAGTGCAGAGCCAGGACCTGGGCCGACTGACCCGGAGCCCGTGGTTCTGGTGCAGGTGCTCTTCTACCGTTGCCCACAGGGGCCTGGAGTGTGAGACCTGGAGGGAGGCCTTCCCTGCCCACTTCGCTGCTTCCCGTCCCTCCTCTACCATCCACAATCCATCCACAAGCCTCTGCAGGCCCTGCCCTTCCTTTCCATCCCTCCGCCTGTTCTTCCTCCTGGGCCTGTCCTTCAGCGAGCAGCAGAAGACACCTTCCCCCCTCTGCCCCACTGTGCCCTCCCCTCATTCTGCTCACGTGTGGGCTTCCCCCCGCCCCCGGCAGCCACACTGGTCCCTCTGGCCCCCACCTCACTGCCTCACACATTCTCCTGATAAACGTCTGCTGCAGGGCTGTTCTCTGAGTACAAATAAGGTAAGGCCTCCACCCTCGAGTCTCTGTCTAAACCCGCAGTTGTAGGCCTTCCTCGGGTCCTGCCTGCACAGTGAGCTGAAGGCCTCCCGGTGCCCACCCTCCAACCCTGTGGGCAGAGCCCTCCCTCACCCACTGCCGCCCCCCCCAGGCCAGCCTGCCCAGTTAGTGCCGGTGCCCCCTGTGAGGGACAGTGTTTGTGTGCAGTGCTGGCGCTCAGCTGTTAGCACCCACCACCAAGCCCTGATGACAGGCAGGGGGAAGCCCAGCCCCGTGGCTTCAAAGTATCTCCATTCAGGTTATTTTTAAACAGCATTTTGTTGTGCCCATGGGTTGAATGACACTGTGCTTGCAGCCAAATGTTGGGGTCACGACAGACCCTGAGGGAAGGACAGTAACAACTATGCATTAATTCAAATGTCTGCAAAATATATATTTAGTTTATTCCCTGGGCCCAGATGCTCACACCTGTAATCCTGACTCTAAGAGACAGCTTTAAGGCAAAACTGCACTTTTCCTTGAGGCAAGGCTCATGAGGCCCTGCAGAGGCCCCACTGTTCTTAGGACTGATTAGGCTGAAGATCTGTGCCAGGGAGGCAAAGCCTGAAGGCGGGAGAGACTAGGAGAGCCTGACAGCCACGGCCCACACTTGCACCCATCACACCAGGGGCCTGGCCCCGACCCCATGGCACTATCTGAGCTGTGGCCCAGACAACTGGCCTGTATGCCCATTCGATCAGCAGCATGGCATAATTTTCTGGCCACCTGAACACACACCCTGACAGAGCAGATTCTCACCTGTGGCCACTATCAGGTGAGAGAATGTAATCGTCACCCAGCTTTCTGTGCCCCATCCCAGGCTAGAAAAGACCTGGGCCTCCTAGAGCTCATTTCCCACGTGATGGAACCAGGACCTACAGCTTCTGCACCTTCTCCCCTCTTTGCCCAGTAGAACCTTAAGCCTTGTGCTTACCAACTGATAGTGACAGGTGACCCGGAGGCCTCTTTGTTGGTTCAGGCACCACAGGGCTGGCGATAGCTGTTCCACTTGGCCAGTTGCTTCTTATATTTTCTTCAGCTAAACTTTCCTGAGGGAGCCCAGTGTGTCAGGCCATCATGATAATGATAACTGCTATTCTCTCTCTCATTCACACAGAACAGCTTTCTCGAAATATAATTCACACATCAAAAAAATCCATCCTTTTCAAAGTGTGCAATTCGATGGTTTTTAGTCCATTAACAGAATTGTGAAACTTGTGAAACAATCACCACTATCTAATTTTAGAACATCTTCATCACCATCAAAAATAAACCCTGTACCTATTAGCTGTCACTCCCTATCTCCTCTTCCCCACAGCCCCTGGAAACCAGTAGTATACTTTTTGTCTCTCTGGATTTTCCTGTTCTGGATATTTCATATAAATGCAAGCATACAACATGTGATCTCTTGTAACTGGCTTCTTTCACTTAGCATAATGTTTTCAAGGTTCATTTGTGTTGTTACAGGTATCAGTACTTCATTCCTTTTTACTGCTGAATAATATTCCATTGTGTGGATGTACCACATTTTGTTTATTCACTTATCAGCTGATGGACATTTGGATTATTTCCACTTTGCAGCTGGTATGAATAATCCTGCTATGAACATTCATGCACAAGTTTCTGTGTGAACACAGTTTTCAGTTCTCTTGGGTACATACCTAGGAGTGGAATTGCTGGGTCATATGGTAACTCTACATTTAACAATTTGAAGAACTTCCAAACTGCTTTCCAAAGTGACTGCACCATTTTACAATCCCACCAGCAATGTGTGAGGGTTTTCGGTTCTCTTTGGATATTCACCACAGCTTTCTAAGATTGGTATTATAATCTACAACTTACAGTTAAGGCCACCGAGGCTCAGAAAAGGTAAGTAACTTGGCTATTACTTCCAAATGCCAGGCTCTTCCCTTTGTGACCAACGGCCAAGTATTAACCCTGTATCCCCAGTGAACAACTGTGTTTCTCACCCTTTTACCTCTATGCCTGCATCACCCTGATGAGAAATCTTTATGTGTTACAGGACGTGTCAGGAAATGCTGCATTTCTGGCCTTCACTCCTTTTGGGTTTGTTGTTCTGCAAGGAAACAAGAGGGTCCACTTCATTAAATGGTGAGTATCTTTATTTCCAAAACAGGCTTTTTATACCTCACCAACTGGGGAGGGCTGTGGTTCCCATGTCCTATGTCTGTGATTGGGCGAGTTCTGGTTCTGAGCCCTCTCCAAAGCCTTGCATCCATAATGGTAACTGATGAAGGTAGTGGTCTCTTCTAGGGATCCTATGCTTCCACAGGGGTGTTCCTGAGAGCCAACAGCCTCTCCAGAGAGAGAAAGGGTATGGAAAGTTGGTTTCTGGGTAGGATGAGACATCTAGAGCTGGAGCCAATGTTAGGGAAGCAAAGTTCCCATGAGAACTAAGTCCTTGGGACTGTCCCCCGCTGAGGACCATAGCATCTGCAGGGATGTTTACTCCTTACCCACTCTCCTAACGAAGGAGGGCTTGCAATGACCCCTGGGGCAGATACAAGTTACCCTGTTGCTCTGGCAAAACACCCTCCTCAGACCAAACCCCACGGTGGGCACTGCCTGCTGGAGCACAGATGCTGCTCTGTCTCCTGTCCCTCTTCAGGGCTTAGGTGTCCTCAGCCTCCAAGAGTCACATCCCCACTCTTTCTTCCCTCCCCTGCCTCTCCCACTCCCAATTCTAGCAGGCAAGAGCCACTGCTGCAGCCACAGCTGCTCGGAACTGCTTCCTGTCCGCCCACCTGTTGGGGTCTGTTCTGCTGCGTGGCTCTGTGAGCCGATGCAGCAGACTCTGGTTTGTTGATGGACGTTTGGCTCTCCTAGAGACCCTTTTTCTGGCCCATGCAAATATCTTGCAGCCTCATGTTGCATATTTTACTAAGTCCCTGTGATCTCTGAACCTTCCTGGGCCTTAGACTGCCAAGTCTAAGCTGGCCAGCTCCTCTCAGGGGCTTGGACAGGTGTCTTTCCTTGGCCCAGCAGAGCTCAGCCAGGGAAGCCTGCTCCTGTCTTGTTTCCTCCGCCTTCTCAAGAAGAGCTAGCGGGGAACCTGATGACAGAGCTGCTCCCTGGTGAGCTTTCTGCTGGGGATGCTGCAGGCCAGCTCTCCTGCGACATCCTCTTCAGCTCCCCTGTTAGCTTGTGGACAGACACCCCCTTTCCAACCCTTGTGGCTCTTGTGAAGCTTGGCGACATGATCAACCACAGTGCTTGTGAAACTGCCCCCCAGACATGCCCGGCCAGGTCCCATTCCCCAGAAAACCCCTTCCCAGGGCGGCCTGCTGCACTGGGCTAACCGGTGTGCTCCCCAACACGCCCATTTGCTACCCCTTCTCAAGCTGGCCCACTCACTGCACTTCTTGGGTGAAGATGGTGAGGGTTTGGGGTCTTCTGTCCAACAAGATACTTTTCAGAAAAAGACAGTGAACAGGGTCAGGCCACCGCTCTCCCAGGGAGGAGCACTTGCTATTTGGAGACCTCTGGGTCATCTGATGTTCCTTAGAAGGCCCGGATCCTGGCCACACTCCAACCAGGGTAGCTGTCTTTATGAGGTGGCTGGTAGGGGGCATTTTAGCTAGAAACAGGTAGGACACACCGGGGCCTGTAGTCCCTAAAGTATCCTTACCCTCCAGAAGCCCTGCTGCTCACTGGGTTGTCCCAGACCCTTTTCCTTCTATAGCTTCTCTCACAGCCCATTTCTTCAGGACGTCTCTTCATATGCCTCAACTTTAAAGTAATAGATGTAAATTTAATCACACTTCCAATAGAAAATTTCCTACTTTCCTATCTTGCTTGTTGAAGGCTAGGATGATCTGTGTGCTTGTTTATATATCAATCAATTGATATTTATTGTATTCTGTATGTGTATGAGAGATTGATTGATTGGGAGGGAATCTAACAGGGAAGGAATCCCATGTGGCTTGTACTAGCTCAGAACTGGTGGTCAGAAGTTGTGAGCTCTCATCCTGACCCAGCTGTGATTTCCAGGGAACAGGTGACCTTCCTCTGTCCCCTGAGTTTTGTCCAGTAGTAAATTGGGTACATTGTTTTCACTACCTTTCTGCTACTTTCTAGGATATTGAGGAAATCTCCCTAGAAATCGCAAAGAGGAAGAAGCCAAGTGGAGGCAGATATGCATGGTCAGACCTCCTTGGGGGGTCCCAGTTGGGTAGAAAAATAAAGACTCTGCCCCCAGTGAGGCAGGAGGGCCTTCAGGCTCCAGAGGGTAGCTGTGTCAGGCCAATGGAAGGGAAGTGAGGAGTGACCAATGCTGAGGCCTAGTTCTCTGGCTCTCAGGGACATCCACCTAAGACCCCAGTCATTTTTCCATTTTGTAAATGTAACCAAGGCTGAGAGCAGTATGTGGAGGTGAGGTCTAAGTCGTGCCATGTACAGTAACCATGTCACTTCTTCTGATTTGTGTCTGTCCTGCGGGTGGATGTACCCCAGTATCCTGTTTGCCTCTTTTACTGCAGCCATTCACTGGGCTGGTGGCTTCAAGGATTTTTCTACAAAAACCCCTAAGCCCCTTTCCTGGTCAGTACGCTGCATGACTGTTCCATGTAATCTGTTCTCTCTCTTTGGTATGTTGCCCTGCCCCCCTCCCTGAGATCATTTGACATTTGTCTGCATTAAACTGCATTTTCCATCCAGTGGCACAGTCACCTGAAAGACTCAACTCCCTCAGAACCTGGTCGCATTGTTTTTCATTATTTGCTGTTATCTTGAACTTTGGCCTCATCAGCTACCTGTGGCATCTTACATTTGACAGTCCCATCAAGATAATGCACCTGTGTTATGAACCAAATCCCGAAATGGCCCAGGACCACTCTACCTAGACTCACTTCCCATGCAAACGTTTCCCTTTTACAGCCACTGTTGATGAGCCCGAAATCCTCCTATCACCCTATTATTATAGTGTGATTGACCAGAAAACTGTGGATTGAACTGTTTCAACAACTGTTCTCTAAGGCCCCTGCGCTGCTGTCTTGTTTCAGTTCTAATTTTGGCTAAAACTGTGTCTGTGCCTGGAGCCCCTTCCAGTCGGGGTGGGCTGTGCATCTACAAGACTTAGCTGTGAGCAAGCAGCCCACAGTGAGATGACGGGCGCTCTCTTTGTGCTTCTAGGAATGAGGTGACCAAGCTGAAATTTGAAGGAAAGACTTTTTATTTGTACGTAAGTCAGAAAGAGGTGAGTGCTGGCTTCCTTCTCTTCAGGGAGGGCTGGGGCACTGGGGTGGCTCCTGATGGCCAGGGCTGAACCAAAGTGGTCCATCCAGGCAGAGCTAAGCCCCCTGCATGCCAAGCCGGGACCAAGTTCAAGGCTGGAGGTGAGGAGACATGAGATGACGACAGGTGGCTGTAGGTCCTGGAGCACAGGGACTTCCTCAGGGATGCTGGTGACCCTCACAGGTTCCATACCTCCAGGAAGTACAGAGTAAGATTCTTTTGCTTCCATATGAAAATTCCAGGAAGATAATACCAAAAAAAGAAAAAAGAAAGAAAGAAAGAAAGAAAATTCCAGATGAGAGTGCCACTTTCTCTGGGGAGGGCTCACTTGGTTCAAGCGGTGCCAGCAGAGACTTACTCTGATTGGACCTGCCAGGTGTGCCCTTCTGCACTGAACTCAGCTCTGTCCTGTGGGTGCTGTAGGCTTCTCTTCCAGCCAGCAGCCCCTTCCCTGTCTGAAGCCTCTCCCTGAGAGCACTGGGGAGCCTTCAGACAGCTCAGGGCTCAGTGTCCTGGGCCTCTTCACCCTTCGCTTTGCCATCCACACTCAGCTGTTTCTATGTGGGATTTTTTGTAGGAAAAGAAAATTATTCTCACATATTTTGCTCCAACTCCAGAAGCCTGCAAGCACCTCTGGAAATGTGGGATAGAGAACCAAGCCTTCTACAAGTGAGTGGACGCCTGGGATGGGAACTGCCTTTATCAGGGCCAAAGCCATAGAAGCTACTTTTAGAGGAACAATGGGCAGGAAAGTTTGAGAAACTCTGACAAAGGAGACATGAGATGACAAGGCTGGGCTTCCTTATAAAACTCAGACCCCTTTCCGGGTGGCTGTCTGTACCACCTGGAGGGTCAGAGCTGATGTCTGGGAATGTGTGTCAGCGGAGTTGCCCAAGGTATCTACCTTGCGATGTCGTTGGACAGCCCCCAGTGGCAAAGCAGTTCTGGGTCTTTTCAGGGTAAGGCTTGGGCCAGAGAAAGCCCACAGGTGCCTGACTTGAATAAAGCTGGCCCCTTGGAGCCATTCAGAGCCAGAATACAAGAGCTCCATGAAGGAACAGGCGCAGCCCAGAGCAGCTCCCTAAGCCTTGGAGAGACTCTGAGGCCCGCTCCCCAGTGGGTGGCCTGGTGCTGAGCTGGGGTTGCTACCAGCCCTTCCTGGTGTGTCACTGACAGAGGTGTTGCCAGTGACAGGCCAAGTGCTCAGGAGCTGGGGGTGGGGTAGCTGGAGGAAGCAAGGACTTGACTGTTACTGAGATAGCAGCTTTGGGGCAAAGGAGAGAGCTTAGCTTACCAAATGATTTTGTAAAGTATATTGAGGCTTTTGTGCCCAGTTTTCTTTGATTAAAAAAGTTGTTATAGAAGCATTACGGAGCAAAGAAATAGCCCATCGAGAAACTGGGGTGATGCCAGATGAAGTGTATTTCGCTAAAACCCTTGGTCTTGTTTTTAAAATAGAATGCCATGACTTATGCTTTAATAAGCTGCATCTTAATCAGAACAACATAAGACAGAATGTGTGGTATACTCCTCTCCTGACAGGCCACAGTTCTCCCTCCAGTAACCTGAAGGATCCAGAGCAGAATTGCTCTGGGCTGGGAGGGCACCATCTTCCTCTCCACTCAACAGACTCTGCTACCTGCTGACTGCTGTGGGATGCTGGCCCCCACAGGCTGTTTCTTGGGCAGGCTTTCTGAGTTGTATAATAAATTCTGTGCATTTGATACCAGAATCAGGGGTGAGTTGAATGGGCAGCCTGAATTCTCACCTGAGTGGGCTTCTTTCTTCTCATGGAGAAGACACTCGGAAGACTTTCATGTGGTCACATTTCCCTCCTATTCAGTCCCTGGCTGTCCAAGGAAAGCCGAGAAAACATTTCAGCACCATTTCTGGAGGCCCTCCTTTGTTTTTCCATCTGAGCCATGGGAACAGAATTGTGCTTCTGAGCCTGTGACCAAACTCAGTTTCTGAGTCTTTCCTTAACAGATTGCCCACATCCACACTGGAAAGCAAGGCCGCTTTTCACTGTTCTCCATGACTACTAATTAGGTGTTAAAAGCCTCTAGCCTGGGTCAGACCCTCATTTATGCCAAGTCGCTAGCAGGAGCCACTTCGGCCTCACTCAGAGTGTCTGTCATGGGCAGATCCCTGCCCCGCTTTTGGCCTAGTGCTTTGAAGGGAGCCGGTCAGGCTCAAGAAGGTGCTCAGAAAAAAATAACTTTACGTGTCTAACACGTATTAAATATTTTAAACCAAAAAAAAAAAAGAAAGAAAGAAAAGGAATGTGCTCAGACAGGAGAGTAAGTAGGCTCAGAGCCTCATGGAGCCCTGAGACAGGTGGGGATGGTGTCCCCAGCACCTGCTGTTCATGGATTATAGGGACAACTCCCTAAATATTCACTGCCCGCTCAGGACAAAGGCTTCAGACCAGTTCAGTTCCCAGCTGGGTTAGCACTACAGGCACCCAGGACGTGTTGTGGATGGGGTCAGGTCTTAGGAGATTCAATCTGGGCAGCTCTGCCCATGCTTCCCTTTCTAAGTGAGAGGAGTACAGGGATCAGAGCAGTCACTCAAGGGTGGCTTCCAGAGTCTCCACCTCAGCTGTTCACAGCCTTGAAAGTGGTGTTAATGGGCTTTCTGGGGGAGGGCAAATGGTTCCAAGTTCAAACAAATGGTGGAACTTTTATTAAAGTTCAGCTAGTTTCTTCATTTCGCGACTTCTCAGAGTCTCTAATGTGACAATATACTTTAGGTTCTCTCCAAGAAGGAGATGGAATAGGAAGGGCACTACTCTCTTCTCCACCCAAGTTACCCAGACATGGACACGAATTCTCAAACACTAGGACTGGAAGGGACTCCTGAGGTCAAGCAGTCCCAGCTCCACCATTTTATAGACAAGACTGAGGCTAAGAGAGGAAAAATTTGCCCAGGGTCACACTGCTAACCAGTGGCCTGGCTGAGATTCAGCAGGTGGCATTCTCTTTCCCTAACATTTATTCTCTCAGTCCCCATGGTGAACCCATGAGGCACTCTTGGGGAGCCCTCACTCTCCTAACGTGGAAGTGGATTGCAGCACGCCTGTCCATAGCACTGAGACCGTGAACACGGCCCTCAGGTGCTAAAGGAGTCAGAGACAAGCAGGGCTGTGAAAGGCCTTTTCCTGAGGGGTTTTTTCAAGTAGCCTTTGGAAGGAGCTGGGGACACAGCCTTAGGCTGTAAGGCATTGCAGACCATCTCTCACACTGGACTTTGCCTTGCTGCAGGCTGGAGAAGTCAAGCCAAGTCCGCACAGTGTCCAGCAGCAATTTATTCTTTAAAGGGAGCCGGTTCCGATACAGGTAAATAGTGACAGTAAGTAACCATTATGGACCTATTTTCAGACCTTCTCTGGAGAAGGGTGGCCCAGTGGTCCTTATCCTGAGAACAAAGACACTGGGAACCTCCAGAGAAGTGTGAGGTTTCCATCCGATTCTCCTGTCTCCTAACCCTTTGACTATTTCTTTCCTTCCCTGCAGCTGTTTGCCTGTAGGGGTTAAAATGAGTGTCTTCTCCTGCCCTTACAAAAGCAGCAAAATAAGAACTGTAAGAGTGATTCCTTTCATTTCTATCTAAAGATTTCATTTTTTTGCAATATTTCTGGAACACGCTGGACAATGAGGAATCATTCGTAAATGAGGATGGAAGATCCCAAAGACCTCAGAGACAGAGAGCTGTCAGGACGCCTTAGAGCTCTTTACCCCAGCAAGCAAGCCCTACTCAGTGGCCTAAACATTGAGAAGGGGTAGGCCAAAGAGGCCACTTCCCAATTCAGCTCAAGTATCTGAGATCTTACAGAGGAGCTCAGTCCTGGAACACTGTCTCATTTCTTGCTGCTTGTTTTATTTATACTACTTATAGTGGCCGAGTTGCAAAGGAAGTGATGGAGTCCAGTGCCAAGATCAAACGGGAGCCACCAGAAATACACAGGTAGGCACCAGGGGCTTATCCCCAAACCAGGTCCAGCTCAGATCTAGGACTCTTAAAAGAGCCAGCAGTTTGAGTACTGTGAAGATTCTGGCCATGATGGCTTCCAAACAGGTCAGCAGGGTGAAGAGACCCATCTCAGCCAAAGGCATGGGAACAGGATGACCCTGGAGAATGAGGGAAGGTGGGCTAATGCAGACAGTACATCAGACCCAGGAGCCACCTTCCTGGGTAATTCTCTACCATCATCCCAAGTCCTGAAATTGGTCATAGACCTTGGAGGACATGCCCAAGCAGCAAGATTTCATTGGCTCTGGAAACAGTGCATTACAGGAAGCCAGTCACACTAGGTCTGAAATAGTTTCAGGATCCATGCTTTATGTGTAACTGTAAATCATAAATTTCCAGGAGGCCATCTCCTAAAACCTGGTAAGACTGAGGGAGAATATGATTGGCCAAAAGGTCTGGGGCTTGCCAACCAGACTGACCTCTGGGAATGGGAGCATTACTACCTGCCTTCACACGGACCCCCCTGCCCTCTGTGGGAAGTCAGGGGAGGCCGCATATCAGTCTTAGGCACATTTTTAGGAGCACCGCATATCCTGGGGCTCTACCCTCTGACAATCCTGCCCAGGGACCAGCGGCACCACTGCCACACTAAAGAAAGTTTCGGGTAGGTCTGGGATATAAGGAGGTTGACAAGTTTGAAGTAGTGTCTCTGACTGGGATTCAGGGACTAAAGGCAGAAAGCAGGTATTAAAGATTTTTAAAAACAAAACAAACCTTAACACAGCCAGGCAATTCTAGTAACCAGTCCTCAACTCTGAGCCCTGACCACATTTGTCAGTGCACTAAGTCAACAGAATTCTTTTTTTCTTTAACCTCAGAGCAGGGATGGTCCCCAGCCGCAGCTGTCCCTCCATAACCCATGGCCCAAGGCTGAGCAGCGTCCCCAGGACCCGGAGAAGAGCTGTTCACATCTCCATCATGGAAGGTGAGCATGAGCTCTGGAGAGGACCTGGGGTTCCTCCAAGTTGTCACCTGGACCGGTTCCTCACAGGGACCTTGAAAAGAAGTGAATTTCACTAGAGACAGCAGCAAGTTTCTCCAATGGTAGGGAGAATGTTTCATCCAGTCAATGGGAACACCAGCTGGGTGTCAGGTGAAGGGTAATCCCATCCAGCCCTGATGAGCTGTGGTCCAGGAGGGGTTTGTAGATCTGAGAGTATTAGACTAAACCTTTGGGAGAGAACCACCATCAAAGGCCTTATTTATGTGAGTACCTTAGTTGCTCCATTTGTAAAACCCCATGGATTTCAAGGAAGCTGATGTACATGCAAGTACTTTAAAGAGATGAAAGCATTTACTGGGTAGGCAGCAAGCACAATGCAAAGAGCCCTGGTCAGGAAGTCAAGGATGAGGTCAAAATAGGAGCTCTGCCACACATTTTCTGGGCAGGTTGCTTAACCTCTCTGAGCCTGTTGCCCCCACTGTAGAAAGGGGTGGGGGGTGGGGGAAGGTGCCTTGGAAACTCCCAAGTATAATGGCTATGCAAGGTATGGAATTATTGAGGTCTGGCCATCATCAGACACAGCCCCCTGGTTTTCCCTCCTATCTTAGGCTGAGCGGGAGAAGTGAGCCCAGCTCTCTTATTTTGGGGTGTGCATCTCAGGAAAGTGGACTGTCTTCTCCTCTTTTGAGGAAGCATAACTTTCTCCCCTCTCTGTGGCCCTTGTTCCCGTCTGTCCTGAGGCTGAAGCCACCAGGTTCATCCCAAGGCTCTTGCAGAAAGTCGGGACAGCTGTCCTCCCAGAGAAAAGGCCAGCCCCTGGGGGAAGCTGGCCCTAATGCAGGTATCGCATAGGAGAGCAGCCTCAGGCATTACTGCTCCCCAGCATATGGAAGAATGTCCAGTAAAACCAGCACTCCCAGAAGAGGGAAGACTGAGGCCATCCATGTGGGGATATAACTCATTTGGAGTAGCTGCCAAGCAGGGTTAGCAAAACAACTCAGAGGTGGGGAGAACCATCCTCAAGCTCCCCCAAGACGAGCTGTGAGGCTGCCTCAGTTCCCAACCAGTTCTGGCTGTGCCTTCAGCCTCCTCCCAGAACCTGTCTTCTCCCATTGTAGCAGCAGTAGGCTCCTCAACATCCAAAACTGTCACCCATGCTTACAAAATGCCAGGGGAGGGTGCAGAAAGCTATTAGAGCAGAGACCCCACCCCCACCCCAGGGCCAGGGCACGGCCTCAAAAGCTTAGGCTCAGAACTTCACACCTGGCAGATTATAACACAGCAGGCCTCCACGTGCTACTCCCCAAGCCAACGTGCTCCTTACACCCCATGCCCAGTGGTGCCTATAGACAAGCACAGTCTTCATCCTTGGTCATGGCCCTCGAGGCCCATTAGACTCAGAAGGGCGTGGGTAGAAGCTCAGAACTGCCCTGGCAGGAATGAAACTCACAGGCAGAATGTAATTCAGGGTGAGGAGAGGCAGATGTACATCTGGTTTGGATATGAAAAAAAATACAAGATTTTAGCAGTTGAGCAGCTCTATCAGTGCAGGGATCATCAAGCCTGGGGAAATAAAGAATGGATTATTTCAGGAGGTGAGAGTTCAGCTGCATCATCTCTCAAGAGGGGGTTTTGCCTTTAAAGCACCTAACACGGCTGACCCTCACTGTTCACCCCAACCAGGCAGGGAAGGGTGAGAGGGACTCAATGGGGACCTCAGAGGAAGGACACAAACCATCAAAACGCCCAGGAAGTTATGGACATTTGAAATTCGTTCACGCTCCATCAGGGATTGTCTTTCCTATAGTCCATATGGCACATAAATTAATATCACAGAAACCATTTGCCTTTTCCAGGGGAAAGCTTTGTTTGCTATCTCCAAAAACAGTGGGGAAAATTGCAAAAAACATTAACGTAACGTTACAGTTTGAATGAAACCATGTAATCTCAATGAACTGAGACCCTTAAAAAGAAGACTGCATTGGTTGGCCCTGCTCTCTGCTCTAGGGGATGCCAAGATAACACATGTTATTAGCACAGGCCTGACGCAGAGAGGACATTCAGGTATGTCAGTTCCTTTCACCCATTGTGCCCCATGGGGCAGCCAGACAAATAGCGTAGATCCCAGTGGAGGAGGGGACGCAGCCCATTTCCAGCCCCAGAGCCACCGCCTTACACTTCAGAGCCACCCAACCCAAAGCCATTTTCTTTGTAGCTTCACATCCTGGATTTTCTGGTACAGTCCCGATTTCCCCTACTCTCTGGGATTATTCCCTGCCCTCTCTGTTCCTCACCCTCTGAGAGGTCTGGGGCCCTTATACGGGCCTCAGGGAAACAGCTACTGGCTGGGAAACCATTACCTTTTATAGCTGTAAGTCCTTCTGACTGAATCCAGTCCCCTGATAACGCTGGCCTCTCAGAGCTGCTCTTTCCCTGCAGCTCAGTCTGCTCTGAGACTCTCAGAGCCAACCTTTTCTCTCCAGCATGGGAGGCACTGCGAAAGGGCTGCCATGGCGTGAGATCAGTTGGTTTCCCATCCTTTCCCTCTGTACCTTCCCCGCCTGGCTGGTTCCCATGAAGAGATCAGCTGATTTCCACTGAAGAAGTACCTGCCTTCCTGGGCCACTATGGGGAAGAGTCTGATTAAGATTCACACCAGAGTCCGAGTTCAGCTCCGGTTGACTAATCACTGCCTTCGGCCCCTGAGTGTGCGCATCCTGAGGATGGGGCCCCGGCTCCAGGGTAGGCTCCTGACCACTGTGCCCGCTGGCCCACTGGGAGCCACCTCTGGGCAAGGCGATCAGCTGGAGCACCTCCAAGGTAAAAAGACACCCTCTGTTTTGCTGTGCCACTCACCCAGATCCCACCCACGGCACCCACCCCAGCCATCCCAGAATAACAGGTTTGAGGCGAGTGGTGGTTTCTAGTGAAACCTGAAATTCTGTACAGGACTAACCTAGCATAGGAATAACCTTAACTTTATAGGTGAGGTCTGTTGGGGGAACAGAAGACTAACATTTACTGAGTAATTTTGTTTGTCAGGCTCTCTACTTAGAAATACATATGTAGCCATTATCTTGTTTACTGAGAGCACCAACAACTCACTGTAATGTGGCTTCTGGTGTCCCACTGATTAGCTCTTTCTGATGTCACAGCCTTTGCCCCTCACCTTCCCCAGCAGGCTTGGGGCTGAATTGTAGGCCAGGCTATGATTGCACTAAGTGGCTTCCGGCAGCTATGCTGGTCATACATTGGAAGATCTGGTAGTCAGAGCTGTCCTTGTGAGGGGACAGCCCTTGAAAGGGTGTGAGGTGCCCTGTGCAACAGGGCTGAGGTTCCAGAGAACAGGGAGCCAGAAGAGTACTTGGGAAAGGAGCTGAGCCAGCAACATGTAAGATCAGAGCCTGGAAAGGTTTGTTTTATCCGAAACCCATTTCACACTCCCAGGTACGTGTTTCTCATGCTACACACATGCAAATGAGGGAAGAAGGGAGGAACACTGGGGAAAACAGAGAACAGAGGAACATCAAAGGCTCTGGAACAAGGGACAGGCTCTTAATTTCACCTTATTTCACAACAGTTTCTTGGGCAATTGGGACCTAAGTCTAAGGCAGGTGCAGGCTGTTGACTTAATTCATCCTGGCCTGTTGTTCCACTCCCCGGAATCCAGCTGCATGATCATTAGCACCATGGAATAGAAAGAGGCTTGGATTCTACCCTTGTCTTTGCCAGTAACAACCAACCACGTGACTGTAACCTCTTGCCCTCACCACTTCATGAAGTTGTTTAAAGATAAAATGGAAGCGCTTTAAAAAGTTTTAAACATTATACAAATTTAAGTATCTTATAGCATAGGGACAAAGGAAATACAGCCAGGACCGTGCAGCTTCTGAAAGCAGGAGCTGAGAGCTGCTGCTAATATACTAATGGTGAGGTGGTGGGGAGCAGAGGCGGATAGCAGGGGGCTGCCACCTCCCCTGCCCATGCCAGCCACTCGTTCGTAACCCAGGGTTCGTTCCTATGGAGAATCTTTTACTGTGTGTATGCCGAGACGGGCTACAGCAGGCTGGGCAGGCAGGCGGCCTGGCTGCAACTGGCTACCTACCAAGGAAGCCAAGGAAGACGAGATACACTATTTCTGAAATGTTACTGGCACCTTTTAAAAGAGACCTTGGGGCTTCTGAAGCCAGCCCAGAACCAGAAAACTCCGTAATTGGCCCTGGTTAGGTCTTACCTTTACTAGCTGGGTGTCCAGCTGTCTGGGGCAGTCAGGGTCGATTTCAGAGCAACAGAAGGGGACGAGCTTCTCTTGATGTGGACCACAAAAGCAGGGAAAGCCACTCTGGAACCACCAATATGGCCAGGAGTAGAAAATACAGACACTGAACTTGAAAACAAGAAGCCATTTCCTTGGGAGCACTATGACATGGGCCACACTTGGTGACTCAGCTCTGACATCCTCTGGCCTGGGTGGCTGCTGTTTGGTTGAGGGGGGTAACCAGCTCCTGTTCTTCCCTACTAGAACTTTGAGCCCTGGAAAGAAAGAAATGTTCCATCTAAGAAAGTAAAGCGATAATGAGTAGTTTTAGGGGCAGAAGACCCTTCCTCCTAACTAATGTAAGAGAATTTCCCACTGATGCAACAAGATCGTCTCAGAGACCACTCTGTACTCTGGAGTAGCTAAAGCAAGGGGAGCTGTCAGCCTGTTCTGGACCCGGCTCAGTCTAAGGTGAAAAGAGAGGGAGAGCACTTAGGAAGAGCAGATCAGGTTTTTACCTCCCACAAAGTCAGGACAGCTAGAGCTGGGTGGCTGAGGAGACTGATAGCAACTGCAGAAATCCAAAAGATGAGCTCATGAGCTCAAGGAGCTGTGTGCCGGGTTGTTAGGAGGACACTCGGCTCCAGAATCTGTATTTGATGAGGCCCAGCTGGGCAAAACACAGTCTCCTCCACATTCCTGCCTCTCAAGGCCCTCGGCTCCCTGAACCATGACCCCAGCTCTGGTTGGGTCAGGGATAGTCTGTGATTCTCTTTCAAATTGGGCTAAAGCCAGGCCCAAGACACCAAAGGCAAGAAAGGCAGAATCTTTAACCAATATGGCCAAAACTATAAGCAAAAAGAAAGAAACTTGCAACCAATGCCACTCTGGTTCCTGCTGCTTCTCTTGTCCTGTTCTTGATACATCAAAACAGAGTGCAGTGGCCATTGCTGCTGGTCACGTGGGGCGTGCAAAGGGGCTTCTCCTAAGATTTTAGTGACCAGATAAAGCAGGATAGGTGCTGCCTCCGCCTGACAGCGAAGTGGGTGCCGGCACACAGAAGGCCTGCTCATTTTCCTTTTGCCTTTCCAGGCCTCGAGTCCCTACGGGACAGTGCCCACTCCACCCCGGTACGTACCTCCTCCCACGGGGACACTTTCCTGCCTCACGTGAGAAGCAGCCGGGCAGACAGCAATGAGCGAGTCGCCGTGATCGCGGATGAGGCCTACAGCCCTGCAGACAGCGTGCTGCCCACCCCTGTGGCCGAGCACAGCCTGGAGCTGATGCTGCTTTCCCGGCAGATCAATGGGGCCACCTGCAGCATTGAGGAGGAGAAGGAGTGTGAGGCCAGCACCCCAACTGCTGCACAGATGGAGGCCCTTGGGGGAGAGCTGAGGGCCCTGTGTCAGGGGCACAGCAGGCCAGAGGAGGAACAGGTGAATAAGTTTGTTTTAAGTGTCCTCCGTTTGCTCCTTGTGACCATGGGACTCCTCTTTGTTTTGCTCCTCCTCCTGATCATCCTTACTGAGTCCGACCTTGACATTGCCTTTTTCCGCGATATCCGCCAGACCCCCGAGTTTGAACAATTCCACTATCAATACTTTTGTCCCCTCAGGCGATGGTTTGCCTGCAAAATCCGCTCAGTGGTGAGCCTGCTCACTGACACCTGAGAAGGCATGAATCCTCCCAATAACTAGCCAGGTGGACCAAGGAGCCCGGCTACCCATTCCCAGCAATGGGACCCATCGCGGAACCATCGGCACATGTACCAAGTCCTCCTCTCATGACTCAAAGTCCACAGCCTAGGAGGGTCGTTTCCCAGAAGAAGAAAGGGATAGGCTCATGCCTTGTCTAAACTAACTGGGAAAACTCATTTCCTTCAGAGGTTCTTTCAAGAAAGGCTCAGCGACTCTGTTTCTCATCCTCCCAATTTGCAGGATAAAATTTTTGGTTTTGAATTTTGATTTTTTCATAGATGTGTATTATTTTGAAAATATCAAAAATAATTTATTTTATTATTACTGATTCTCGCAGTAGTGTCACCTAGTAGATGGGACACTAGTTGGAGACTAGAGAGCTGTTGTCTTCTGTATTCTGCAGGAGCTTTCCTACTCAGTTCCAGTAGGCTCATCACTGCAGCCTCAGCGGGGCAGGCCAGGGGTCTGGACAATGGGGACTGTCTAGGTTTTCTTCCCAGACAGAGCTTTTAAAAAAAAGTAAACATCGTGTAGAATGATTAAATGGAAAGTTGCTTCTTATGACGGTCTGAGTTGGATTTTCTTTTCCTTTTATTTCTTTCAAATCTGAGCAGAGTGGGCATCTGAAGGGACCACCACTACAGCAGCAGCAGCAGCAGGGGTGGGGTAAGTCTGTCCCCTTAGACTAGATCCTAGTGGGCATCACCATGAGTTTTGTATAATGAACTTAGACTTCTGTGAGGGTTTTTTCTGAAGACCCTCAAGACTTTTACAGTGCTCCAGAAGCATTAGGTGAATTCGGTGGTGCCAGGGATAGAACTGTCAGAAATGCAGGACTAAGTGTAGTTAACAGAAACCAGAGCTAAGGCACCTGAGAGACCGTTGAGGTCACAGAGCAGTACTTATTTTGTACAACACCATCCCCCCCAAAAAAGACTATTTCAATTTATATTTTAACAACAAAATGTATTTTCTTATCAATTCATATTTTGTTTTTACTTTATGGATTAAGAAAAATAGAGCCTGATGAACTTAAACGACACAAGGAAGAAACTGATCCTGAGAATAAAAAGCTTCAGAAAATAGAATTCCAAGATCGACAAACAGCCTGGGAAGGGACCAGGAAAAGAATCTCTTTAAATAGGAGTTCTAAGAGATGCCTACAAAAGAAGGTGAATGTGGCAGAGACCAAGACTTAGATGTAGAAATACTGCCCCCTAGCGTCATCCTCTGCACTGGGAAAATGAAAGTTGTAGGAAAGCACTTACCATCCTTGCCGAGGCTCCATGCAGAAGAGCAGCATGTGGAGGGTGAGTGTGGGGTCCGAGGCCCGAGCTCTGCAACTCTTACAACCACTCACACACAAGATCTTGTTTTCATCTCAGGGAGAGATTTCTAAGTCATCTGGGGCCTGAGGACTTACGTAAGGACAGTCAGTGGACATATTCCTGGGACCCACATAACAGTGGAGCAGCCGCTGACACCCTGTGATGCTGGGGAGCCTCAAATGCAGAACAGAATGAGTCACATGTAGATCTGCTTTCCCCTAGTTTGTCCTCTGAGACAGCAGAACCATGTCCAGATATAGAATCTAACAGCCATGGATAAACGGAGTTTTTCCTTTTTTAAGGTTGGGGGTGGTGCTGTGTTTCAAAATTTTAATTGCCCTTTTGTCTAGACCAGGGGTCGGCAAACTTCTTCTGTAAAGTGCCAGATAGTAAATACTTTTTTTATTTATTTTGGTTTTGTGGGCCATACTCTCCGGCAACTACTCAACTCCGCCATCTTATCACAAAACAGCCATAGGTAATACATAAACAAAGGAGCAAAGCTGTGTTCCAATAACATTTTTATTTATAAAAACAGACAGTGAGCTGAATTTAGCCCACAGGCCATAATTTGCCAACCCCGATCTAGACAATAAAACTGCTCCTTACCAGTGTGTAAGCAGAAAGAGGGTCAGCTCTGCTCCAATTCCTGACATGTGTTAAAGATCCGGGATCATTTCCCAGTAGAGGCACTGGGGTTGCTTGTTTAAAGGGTGCTCGCACAACCAACCAGCAAAGAGATGTCTGATGCCAAGATGAGCAAGATCAACTGCTGGAATGCTCAAACGCAGCCAGAATCTAAGCATGGAAGAGGGCCTGTCTGATCATTTCCATACCAGCAACAATTTGGGCAGAATTACAAACATCTATTTTCAAAATGACAAGACAAAATATGAGGGAGAGCCTAGTAAAGATTAAGGATCGCTTAGAACCAACTAGCCACTGCCACTTGTCATCTACACAGGAAAGGCTTTATTAGCACAGGATTGGAGTAAAAAGTAGACTCAGAGAAGAAAAGGCTGTCAGGAAATAAGGGGCTGGTTTTAACCTGGATATCTACTGTCTTATGCAACATAGCAGATTACCTTTTAGTGTAGTGTTCCTACCTCAGTCTGTAGAATATGGTGTTTCTATGCAGTGAGTGATAGCCTCGACTCTCACCTTTCATATTCACATTAAAGAAAGATGCAGTATTCCATATCCTGGTACGTACTTGTGTCTAGAGTTCTAACAGTACAATAGTCCATGCCGCTTCCTACAGCTGGATTTTGCTCTCTGAACAGAAACTTTTGGGTTATTTTTTTCCAGGGCTTATCCCACAAAATACAGATAGAAAAGTTTCCTTCAATTTGCTTTTCAAATAGTGCTTGAATAACAAACTTCCTTTGTTGGTGACTGGTCTTTTTTGGTATCTCCCCATCATTAAAAATTGTTCAAGTTTTTAACCTGATTTTACTGTGTTCCACTATGTCTCCTATTTTCTCTCAAAATTAGTTTTGATCTCATTGTAGAAAAAGCAGTGGTTTCCACAGCTTCATCTATCAGAGGAAATAAAACTCTTACTAAAGAATAGTGTACTGCATCTTTAAGCAGTAGAAGGTAAACTACCTGCAAATGTGAATTTCTTAGTTTCATTAAAAAAATATATAGTTGTTAACCTTTTGTGTGCCAAAAATTCTAAGTTACATTTTCCTTCAAAGCAATGTACTTTTTTCTACATATGCAGTATGTAGTTAGCATAAAATCATTGGTGCCATGAAAATTATTTTTAAACGTAAATAAATATTTAAATATCATAGAAGAGTGGACTCTTTTTTTTTTTTTTTTTTTTTTTAACTTACAGCCTATCTCACTTTCTCCTCCTTAAAATTAACAACACATAGATAAAAGGATACCAGTGGGATTTACACAGCTAACTGCTGTCTGCGACTGGAATTATTTAAAATAATCATTTTGTTTATAGCCATCTATTATCCTTGTTCTTCCCCCCAAAATAAATACTATTAAGAACTTAGAAGCTGTAAGTGTGGAATAATTTTGGAGATGAATTGGACCACATTTTTCTGATGAGGAAAACCAAGAAATGATTTTCCCAAGGTTACACACAGTCTCAGAGCCCAAAGGAGAATCTAGATGGTCCAGCTTCTGCACCAGTGTTTGTAAGCCTGGAGTAAGAGAGAGAACAGCAAACACTTCCTATGAAGGGAACAGAATGATATCACCACTACAATTACAAACCTCATATTTACAACTTAACAACATACATTCCTTTAACACTATCTCTTCTGATTCTGTAACCATCACTCTGTAGCTATGGACTGGTAATGGTCTTCTGAATTCCATGAGGATAAAAGGTGAGACTAGGGTCCACTGTACTAGCTTATTATCTAATCTTCCTATTTTCAGTTCTACCTGCCTTCCAACCCTCCATTCTGCCACTAGATCATTTTCCTAAAGCACTGATCAGGTTATGTCACTTACTTCCAAATTTTAAGAGGTTCCTATTACCTTTAAAATGATATCCAGGGACCTCCCTGGTGGCACAGTGGTTAAGAATCCACCTGCCAATGCAGGGGACACGGGTTCAAGCCCTGGTCCGGGAAGATCCCACATGCCGTGGAGCAACTAAGCCCGTGCACCACAACTACTGAGCCTGAGCTCTAGAGCCCGTGTGCCTAGAGCCAGTGCTCCACAACAAGAGAACCCACTGCAATGAGAAGCCCGTGCACCACAACAAAGAGTAGCCCCTGCTCACTGCAACTAGAGAAAGCCCATGTGCAGCAACGAAGACCCAATGCAGCCAAAAATAAATTAATTAATAAAAAAATAAAATGATATCCAGTGCCCTGTCCCCAGGGAAGTTGTGTTTTTTTTTTAATGACAGGAGTCTCTGCTTAAAGTGATCTGAAGAGTAAAAAAGCGTGAGAACCACTGGATGCAAGTGGTTTCCCATGATCCTACAGACTTACAGCTACAGCCCTTTTTATAAAAAAAATTAATTTACTTATTTATTTATTTTTGGCTGCATTTGGGGTCTTCGCTGCTGCACACGGGCTTTCTCTAGTTGCGGTGAGCGGGGTCTACACTTCGTTGCGGTGCGCAGGCTTCTCATTGCAGTGGCTTCTCTTGTCGTGGAGCACGGGCTCTAGGTGCGTGGGCTTCAGTAGTCAGGGCACGTGGGCTCAGTAGTTGTGGCTCATGGGCTCTAGAACGCAGGCTCAGTAGTGGTGGTGCCCTGGCTTTAGTTGCTTCGTGGCATGTGGGAGCTTCCCTGACCAGGGCTTGAACCCGGGTCTCCAGCATTGGCAGGCGGATTCTTAACCACTGTGCCACCAGGGAAGTCCCTACAGCCCTTCTTCGGATAACTAATGACGACTCACCTATGCACACATCCTTTCAAGGCCCCTGCTTAGGGTGCCTCAACCACAACCAAGCCCCTCTGCACCTGAACACACTTCTGGTTTTAGCTCATGAACAGGCTTCCTCTACACACCCCTACAACATGCTGATGGAGTGGAGTAAAACACACAAAAGATACTTTTAAAACATTTCCTCTTGCACAGCTTCCATTTTAGGAAAACATACCTTAAGATGTTTTACTCCTCGCTCTGTGTAACTGTGCTAAATATTATCTTCCTCACAAAATTCCACCTTTTCATTTGAAAAGTCAAACATTTACAGCCACATGAACCAGAATTATGGGTCTATGCTGTCTTAAAACTAAAACTCATTACTGGCCATCAACTCTGTACTAACAAGGAAAAACAAAAGTACTAAATCAGAAGGGACAGCCTAACAAACAAGACGCCTACGTTTTTGGAATCTGAAGACAGAGTGCATATACTTCTTCCTCTCAAGTTTGATACAGAAGGCACATGTTTCTGCCCTCCTCCTCTTCTCATGTACTGTACACTGGCTGAAAGTATTTAAACCTTTGTATCCACAGCCCTAAAGCTCTCTGCTTTCCTGGAGAACTACCTTTGCAAAGTCTTCTCTGTGGAAAGGTTAACTCAAAGGACAGAATACTAAAATGGGTCTTAAGCAATTCAGATTCTATCAGTTCCTAATCATTTGTGGTCTCTCTTAGTCTGACCAACTCTCCATCCACCCCAAATGAGATCATCTCCTTCCTCCTTAACGTCACATTAAAAAAGGTCAGGCATCTCAAAGAAAATAACTACAGGAGAATTCAGAGCTTACATGCTTATGAGATGTTATAAAGGCCAGCTAACAAAAAAGGTTTATCCGGAAGGGAGAGAGCAATCATAATACACACATAATTACAGAAGCCACACAGCTTTAAGCGAGTCTCTGGGAGAAGTGCCTTTCACAACAGAATACAGTTTAAGGATGTCCTAAGGGAGGCAACTGTCCTTTACGTGCTTTCTAGATTTAAACAATTGCTCCTTTATAGAGCTTATCACCAAGAAACAAGTCCCCCACTCACCCTCCTTCTCTCCTTCCTGCACCGCCTCAAGAAGACAGAACTCTGTTAAGTAGAATGGGATATAAATAGCACAGCTGATGAAGCTACAATGGCAAAAGAAACCAGAAAAGTGAGAAACATCAAGAATTTGCTAACATTTAGTGCGGAAGCCAGGCAATTAGCACCAAGTATACCACCAAGTATTCAAAGCTTAAGTGATAGTACTAATTTGATTGAGAGTAGTTTTCAACATCTTAAAAGAACAACTCCCACAGAACTAGCTACTCTAGAACCTGTAAAATTAAGTGGCGTGGAAAAGGGAAAGGGAGCCTAAAGGTTTCATTTACTATTTCCAGGACAGTTTAAATATACCTCAACCTCACATAACCTTACTTTTTGCATTTCATAAATTAATATTTCCACCTTGCTTATCAATTCCTGTATTCATATCACCAAGAAAATAGAGAAATCCTATTCCTTCTAAACTCCCACAATGTATTAATAAACTAAGCCTCAAAACTTATTTAGACTTTATTTAGGAGGAAATTATTTAAGAAAAAAGTGTTCTTCAAGGAAATGAAACACGTCACTTTATTTCTGTGATATACAATTATGAAAAGTTAATATTTCCTCTTAGAAATCAAACATATTGCTGAAGCTATTTACAACAGGCTTTCAGTAGTAGTTTGGCAATGAAGAACAATGGAAGAAGTTGGATAGGTAAGGTCACACAGTAATATTAGTCACTGATTTAGCAATATCCAACAACAGACACATTCAAATTGCCATAGCTTCTGAAAAAAAAATTTTATGAAGAAATTCCAAAAATGGTATTTCATAACACTTCCCCAGGTTATTGAATCTCCTCTGGAGAGTTTAAAGACAGGGACAGATAAGGCTGTCTATGACTTTCTAAGTCAGGAGCTTTTACTTCTTTAACCATGACCCACAGTACCACAGTAATAAAGAAATACATTTTACATCAGAATATACGTATGCATGTATACCTACAAATATGTATGCATATGGAACTAAGTTTCACAAAAGAATACTTACTCTAAGTTTGCTATTCTTTACTATTTCTCTCCTTTTCATTTTTGTAGACACTGTTCATGGCCACTTAACTGATTTCATGTGAACAGCTACAAACCACAGTCTGGGAAACACTGGTCTGAAGGTAATCTCATACTGGATTACAACAATCAGGTAGATCCAAACCCTGTGCCTACAAGCCCTGGGATTCCTTGGCTGTGTCTCAGGAGCCATGTAGAGGAGCGGGAGGGAAAGGGTCAACACACACAGACGCAGGCCCTGCCCAAGTGAACCAAAGCTTCTCAGCAATTTCTTGGGATTTCATGTAAGATTTAATTTAGAGGCAAGGGGGAAAAAAGGTGCTCAGTTTAAAAACTCAAAAGTTTCAAAGTCACTGAGTTAGATGACCTTTCAGGACCCCTTCCAGTGTATGAGTCTAGAAATAAATATTTACTGCAAACTATAAAAAAAAACCCACAAATCTATATATCACTATAGAATCAAAACCACAAAAACAACCAAAATACTGATCACCCAAAGCTTTATAATTTATGTTAGAATTTCTCAACATTCTGCCTGATTAAAAGTGCTGAAGGCATCACAGTCTCCCCTTTAATTCCCTTGCCATCCTATAGAAACAACCTCCAAGGCTTCTCTTACTAAAAGTACCTTCTGCTCACAGTTCTTATTAACAAAGCAATTTTATATTTGCTAAAAATAGAACATATTACCAAGTAAACAGACTAAGCCACGTGAATTACTGGGCTCCTTAGACACTGATTAATTTGAACAAATCAGTGTTGTCAAACCAAAAACTCCGCAACTTTCTTAATTCATAAAAACATGTATCCTCCCACTGGAGTTACCTCCAGCCAAAATATACCGAGTTGGGTGCATAGCGTTGATGGAACACACAGAGGCAAGGCATTCTCCACCAAGAAAAGAGTGCACCCACTTTCCTCTCTCATGGAAGATTTCCACTCGCCGTGGATGGGCCATACTGCCGACTATGATACAGTCTTCTTGTTTAGGGTCCCACACAGCTTGGAACCTGGTCAGCCATCTCCCAGTAATGGTGTTGTGCCTAGTGAAAAAAAATGATTTTTTTAAAGGACAGTAGTGTTAAATAACTCCAGGTAGCATGGGCAGAGGGTTAAGATGGCATTGCTCCTAAATGCTGATATTCTCTGCCAAGTTTCTTTTCATTAAGTTACTGCGTCACCAACAACCTAATCTCATCCTTCATGCAAGACTGAAACTCAGGACAGAGATGATGTATTCTGCATTTTTGAATCTCCAGTGCTGGGTATAGTGGTTTGTGCTCAGTGGATGGTCACTAAATGTCTATTGAAATGGCACCTTTTTTGTTCACTATTTACTAGCTCAATGGACTCCCCTCCTTTTTTCTAGCACATGCAAACAGAAGAAGACCTAGAACAAAGAAATATATAATCTAGGTTTTTGCTGTTTTAACAGGATCTGCTATTTCCCATATTTGTATTCCCCTAATAACCAAACCCTGAAATCATTTTATATTCCATACAACCTTAAAGTTAAAAATACATCTGGAGCTCAAAGAAGAAATCACAAGGGAAATTAGAAGATATCTGCAGACAAATAAAAATGAAAACACAACCTACCAAAATCTACAGGATGCTGTGAAAGCAATAGTAAGAGGGAAATTTACAGCAGTAAACATTAGAAAAGAAGAAAGATCTAAAAATCAACAATCTAACTACCCCTCAAGGAACTAGAAAAAGAAGAACAAACAAAACCAAAAGACAGCAGAAGGAAGGAAATAATAAAGATTAGAGCAGAGATAAATGAATTCCAGAATAGAAAAGCAACAGAAAAAAATAAACTAGGAGTTAGTTTTTTGAAAAGATCAACAAAATTGACAAGCCCTTAGCTAGATTAAGAAAAAAAAGAGAGGAAATGCAAATCACTAAAATAAGAAATGAAAATGGGACATTATAACTGATGTCCCAGAAATTAAAAAGATTATAATACTATAGACAATTATACACCAATGAACTGGACAATCCAGAAAAAATGAATGAATTCCCAGACAAAGGACTTCCCTGGTGGTCCGGTGGTAAAGAATCTGCCTTGCAACGCAGGGGACACAGGTTTGATCCCTGGTGGGGGAACTAAGATCCCACATGCTGAGGGGCAACTAAGCCCACGCACAACTACAGAGCCCACACACTCTGGAGTCTGCACGCCACGACTAGAGAAAAGAAACCCCACATGCCGCAACTAGAGAGAAGCCTGCATGCCACAACTAGAGAGAAGCCCGCACACCTCAACGAAAGATCCCACATGCCTCAATGAAGATCCCACGTGCTGCAACTAAGACCCAACACAGCCAAAAAATAATTATTTTTTTAAAATTCCCAGACACATACAATTTACCAAGACTGAATCATGAAGAAATAGAAAATCTAAATAGAACTATAACTAGTAAGGGGATTAAAATAATAACCCAAAATCTCCCAACAAAAAAATCCCAGGACATGGGCTTCCCTGGTGGCGCAGTGGTTGAGAATCTGCCTGCTGATGCAGGAGACAAAGGTTCTTAACCCAGTCCTGGAAGATCCCACATGCCATGGAGCGGCTAGGCCCGTGGGCCATGGCCGCTGGGCCTGCACGTCTGGAGCCTGTGCTCCACAACAGGAGAGTCCACAACAGTGAAAGGCCCACGTACCGCAAAAAAAAATAAAAAAATAAAAAAAAATCCAAGGACCAGATGGCTTCACTGGAGATTTCTACCTAACATTTAAAGAAGAATTAACACCAGTGCTCCTCAAACTCTTCCAAAAAATTGAAGAGGAAGGAACACTTCCCAATTCATTCTGTGAGGCCAACACTACCCTGATACCAAAGCCAGACAAGGAACCTACAAGAAAAAAAAAAAAGCCTACAGACTAATATTCCTAATGAATATTGATGCAAAAATTCACAACAAAATACCAGCAAACCAAATTCAACAGCACATTAAGAGGATTATACACCATGACCAAGTTGAATCTATACCTGGGATGCAAGGATGGTTCAACATATAAAACTCAGTTAATGTAATATACCACATTAACAGAATGAAGGAAAAAAATCATAAGATCCTCTCAACCAGTACAGAAAAATCATTTGACAAAATTCAATACCCTTTCATGATAAACACTCAACAAACTAGGAAGAGACAAAAACTATCTCAACATAATAAAGGCCATATATGAAAGGCCCACAGCTAACATAATACTCAATGATGAAAAACTGAAAGCTTTTCCTGTAAGATGTGGTAAAAGGCAAGGATGCCTACTCTTGCCATGTTTATTCAACATAGTATTGTAAATTTGGTAGGACTAGAAAACTGGGTAGGACTAAAGACTCCACAAACACACAAAAAAACTATTTAAACAATTTCAGCAAATTTACAGGATACAAAAATCAACACACAAAAATCAGTTGCATTTCTACACACTAAGAATAACCAATCCAGAAAGGAAATTAAGAAAACAATCCCATTCACAATAGCATAAAAAAGAATAAAATATTTAGGAATAAATTTAACCAAAGACGTGAAAGATTTGTATACTGAAAACTACAAAACATTACTAAAACAAACCAAAGAAGACACAAATAAATGGAAAGACATTGTGGTTGTGGACTGGAAGACTTAATATTGTTAAAATGTCTATACTACCCAAAGCGATCTATAGAATTCAATCAATGCAATCCTTATGAAAATCCCAATGGCATGTTTTACAGAGATAGAAAAAAAATCCTAAAATTGATATGGAAACTCAAGGAACTACAAACAGTCAAAATAATCTTTAAAAAGAAGAACAGGACTTCCCTGGTGGTGCAGTGCTTAAGAATCCACCTGCCAACGCAGGGGACACGCGTTCAAGCCCTGGTCCAGGAAGATCCCACATGCCGCAGAGCAACTAAGCCCATGCGCCACAACTACTGAGCCTGTGCTCTAGAGCCCACAAGCCACAACTACTGAGCCCGCATGCCGCAACTACTGAAGCCCGTGCACATAGAGCCCATGCTTCGCAACAAAGAGAAGTCACTGCAATGAGAAGCCCGCACACCACAATGAAGAGTAGCCCCTGCTCGCCGCAACTAGAGAAAAGCCCACGCACAGCAACAGAGACCCAATGCAGCCAAAAATAATTTAAAAAAAAGAACCAAGTTGGGGGCCTCATATTTCCAGATTTCAAAACATACTACAAAGCAACAGTAATCATGACAGTGTGGTACCTGTATAAAGACAGACACTATAGACCAGTAGAACAGAATAGATCCCATAAATGTACATGTACATGGTCAAGTGATATTCAACAAGGGTGCCAAGACCACAAAATGGGAAAAGGACAGTTTCTTCAACAAATGGTGCTGGGAGAACTGGATATCCACATTCAAAAGAATAAAGTTGGACAATAATCTTATATTATATACAAAAATTAACTCAAAGTGGATTAAAGACCTAAACATAAGACTTGAAACTATTAATAAAACAGAGAAGAAAACATAGGGGGAAAGTTTCAGGACACTGGATTTAGCAATGATTTCTTCAATATGGCACCAAAAGCACAGGCAACAAAAGCAAAAACAGACAAATCTACATCAAACTTAAAAACTCTGTGCATCAAAGGAAACAATCAACAGAGTGAAAAGGCAACCCACAAAATGGTAGAAAGTATTCACGAATCATATATTTGATAAGGGGTTAATATGCAGAATATGTAAGGAATTCCTATAACTCAACAACAACAAAAACTATGCAATTCAAAAACGGGCAAAAGACTTGAATAGACAGTTCTCCAACGAAGATACACAAATGGCCAACAAGCAAATGAAGAGATGTTTAACATCACTAATCATTAGAGAAATGCAATCAAAACCACAATGAGATATTACCTCCTTAGGATAATCACTAACAAAAGAACAGACAATGAGATATTACCTCCTTAGGATAATCACTAACAAAAGAACAGACAATAAGTGTTGATGAATATAAAGAGAAATTAGAACCCTGGTGCACTACTGGAATGTAAAATGGTTTGGCTGCTATGGAAAAACAGTACAAAGATTCCTCAAAAAATTAAAAATAGAATTATCAGATGATCCATCAAAATCCCCCTTCTGGGTATATATCCAAAAGAATTCAAAGCAGGATCTTAAAGAGATATCTTTACACCCATTTTGTTCACTGCATTATTCACAATAGCCAAGAGGTAGAAACAATCAAAATGTCCATCAACAGGTGAATGGATAAAGAAAATGTGGCACATACAGACAGTGGAATATTATGCAGCCTTTAAAAGAGGAAGGGACTTCCCTGGTGGCACAGTGGTTTAGAATCCGCCTGCCAATGTAGGGGACATGGGTTCAATCCCTGGTCCAGGAAGATCCCACATGCCGCGAAGCAACTAAGCCCATGTGCCACAACCACTGAGCCCGGGCTGTAGAGCCCTCAAGCCACAACTACTGAGCCCATGTAACACAACTACTGAAGCCCGTGCGCCTAGAACCCATGCTCTGCAACAAGAGAAGCCACTGCAATGAGAAGCCTGAGCACTGCAATGAAGAGTAGCCCCAACTCGCCGCAACTAGAGAAAGCCCGTGCGCAGCAACGAAGACCCAATGCAGCCAAAAATAAATTAATTTTTTTAACATCTTTACTGGAGTACAATTGCTTTACAATGGTGTGTTAGTTTCTGCTTTATAACAAAGTGAATCAGTTATACATATACATATGTTCCCATATGTCTTCCCTCTTGCATCTCCCACCCTCCCACCTTCCCTATCCTACCCCTCTAGGTGGTCACAAAGCCCCGAACTGATCTCCCTGTGCTATGCGGCTGCTTCCCACTAGCTATCTATTTTACGTTTGGTAGTGTATATATGTCCATGCCACTCTCTCACTTTGTCACAGCTTACCCTTCCCCCTCCCCATATCCTCAAGTTCATTCTCTAGTAGGTCTGCGTATTTATTCCCATACCTAGAGTCTGTCCTACAGAGTAAAGTAAGTCAGAAAAAGAAAAACAAATACCGTATGCTAACACATATATATGGAATATAAGAAAAAAAAAGAAATGGTCATGAAGAACCTAGGGGCAAATATGGGAAAAAACAAATTAATTTTAAAAAATTAAATTAAACAGGAGGAGATCTTGTCACATGCTAGAATATGGATGAACATCGAGGACATTATGCTAAGTGAAATGAACCAGTCACAAAATGACAAATACTGTATGATTTCACTCATATGAAGTATCTATAATAGTCAAAATCATAGAAATGGAAAGTAGAAAGATGGTTGCCAAGGTCTGGGAAAAGGGGGAAAGAGGAATTAATATTTAATGGGCAGTTTCAGTTTTGCAAGATAAAAAAATTCTAGAAGTCTGCTGCACAACAACGTGAATATACCTAACACTATTGAACTGTATACATATAAACAGTTAAGATGGTTAATTTATGTGTTTATAACCACAACTAAAAATAAAGTAAAAAAAAATTTTTTAATATATTTGGGGCTCTTTACTGATCTCCAAAGCAAAAAGCAAAGCACTGTCTTTTTATTCTCTATATTGTAACACCATTAGCAACCCTTTCTTACTAAAGAAGTATGAACAATGGAGAACCACATTGCCCTCTGCCACTCAGTGACCCTATCTCTACTGACCTGTGAATCATCACACTAGATAATTTTAATATGCATTAGAAACCAACAAACTGGAATTAATAAAGTTTGAAAAAGGAAATGAAGAGGGAAATTCTGTGAAAAAGAAAACAAACATGCTTAAATATAGCCTCTATAGACTATAAAACTCATGAAGCAACAATCAACATACATTGCACACCCTGTCCCCAACTTCATAAATACTAATAAAGAGGTATGTCTAGGAAGAAGGCATTGCATAAAGTTTGATGTAAAATACATACATTAAAAGTAGCAGGTGCAAAAAAAGGGTAACCAAACAAAGTAAGTGGGAAGGTGGAGAGGCCCTCCAAGCCCAGAACAAACAGGTGCAAATAAACAGAGCTTCAGCTAGCCTCACCAGCAAGTAAGTCTCAATAGGATAACATGAGTAATTCAGGTTGGAATAAAGTCACTCACCTTAACCAAAAATAACCACCCAGAGGCAGAGAACAGCTACTGACTAAAAGAGATTGAACCTCTTTACAGAAACAGGAAACCTGGAGGCAAGAACCCTCCTGTATAGGATAGGAACTAGCAACCTGGAACACTGGAACAATGTAATACAAAATCAGACCTATTACATCTCCTTGACAATCAGATGTCCAATGTATGCACTCCAACAAAGACCTCATAGTAATCCAGGGTCTACTTTATTTGGCACATGGAAACCTACCTGATGGTGGTGAGAAGAGGAATCTTTGAGGATATACAGCTGCTGTCAAAGATTCTACAAAATAAAGAGCAAGAATAAAGGAGCACACTCTTTATTGTTTCTTAATAATTTTCTGAAATATTATCAGTATATTTAACAAGCTCTTCACTGGTTCATGATATGAAATATGATTGTTATCTTAAAATATATAGGATCAGGCTCTAACAAATCTCAGCTAATATATTTACAAAAGTTACAAAGAATATTATAAAATTCAGTGCTTATAGTTTAGTGTGGAAATTACTTACTTAGACATTATTACTCCAAACTTAAATGTACATTCTAAAGTGATAATCTAGACTCTATATTCAGATTCACAGTAATATAAGTCATACATAAGGGATGTAGTCTGAAAATGCAAAAATAACCTAAAAGTGTATGCATGTATCAAGGGAGACTCATCAGTTGAGGGCATGATAGTGTCACTTCCAGATTCTGGCGAGACTGAGACTGTCCAGTGACCAAGGGGAGGAGTTCTTGTGGGGCAACTGGAGGTATCCAGAAGCCTCCACTAGGTACCCTGGCAGACAGAAACTAACCGAATCATCACCACCTCCCCCTTCTCCTTGTGCCTAGCTATTCCACTGAAATTTCTTGGCACTAGAGCTTATTAACTAATTAGATTACTAGAAAGCCAAATCACTAATGGCTAATGTAACAAGAGTAAACTCTGCAGTGCAAATGAACAGGAATGGGACAAATAAGTAGCCCTTAACACAAAGAAAACTACATGGGTGGAAAGGGGACACTGAGCTGCCACTGTCTGGTGACTAAATCTCTTAATGTATTACCTGGTAATACTTACACACTTTACTAGAAATTAACTGGGTACCTGTCACACACTATAAACCATGTTCTTCCCAATAGAGGGGTCTAAACAGAAATTAGGTGCCTTTCTAGAGCCTGGCCCACAGCATACATTTAACAGATACTTGTTGAATGAATAATGAACGAATTCCAAAATCACTTAAGGTAAAACTCTCATAAACAGAGAATTGCTTGCAATGTTAAGCAAAATCAGGGATTTTAGAAGAGAACAAAATCATTTCCTTTGTGATTGCATTAACATTCTCAACATCTTTTTTAATTGGCATTATTTTCTATTTTTGTTCAATTGGTTTATATTACATTTTAAAATCCTTTTTTAGGAAGTAGCTATAGAAAGGTATCAAAGCTAAAACCATAAAATTTTATCCAGTAGTTTGTATAAAAGCCCAATTTTTGCTACCTTTTCTGCCTGCCCATGGCCTGGGGCTCTGCAACTTCGATTCAGCACTTCACTTGTGGGGTAGACCCCACTATCTCCAAAGTAAGAGCTTCTCCCTATGCTAAAATTATCTCCCTTCCAAGATATCACAAGCCTGATTTCATCTGATTTCAGTGCTAAAAGCAAAGACTGACATCACTCTCCAGGGTAGCTACAGACCTTCCCTGCCAATCTCAAGGAAATCTACAGATCCCAAAACTGCTGAAAAGCCATTAAGTACAGGTCATTGATCTTTGGGAACCTAGACATGACTATGAAACAATAACACTAGTGATTTAATAAGGAGCAATAGTCAACAAAGCTACTGTTTAACACAGTAACTACAGACTCTAGATTCCTTAACAAGTATTTCTGTCTTCCCAATTTACCTCAGCTTACAATCAGCACATGTGGTTACTACTCTGTTACCAGTAAGAGGTGAAAAATAGGCAGAAGCGATGCTCTTTGTGTGTTCAGTCAAAGAAATCAAAGGCTTGATTCTACTGCGATTCAGGAACCTTGCATCATAAATATGAATATCCCTGTAACAGGAGGAATAATTCTCAGTGTTGTCACAGTACACATAGTAAGACTCTACAATAGCACTGAACATAAATTAGACACTCAAATACTCACTACATTGAAGAACAGTTAAGACAGAACCCTCTAATCTTCTATATTAATTTAAAAAACACTGGTATAGAGTAAGAAATAAGAAAAATTTCAAAATTATAGCATATATATGTAACCAGGTGGGTACAGAGAGACAAGATTCTAGCTGGTTTTCTAATCTATCCAAGAAAAAAGTTAACACAGACCAAGAAGTTATAGGTCACATGGAACTTTTATATTTTTTACGTACGTTCTTCTCAAAAGACTAGAAGTAAACGCATGAGGCCAAGGAAAACAAAAATGTATATCTTTTCAACACTTGCGCTATTTATTAAATCCAAAAGAATCTCTCATTTTAAAAATAATCACGTTAAAAAAAAAACAAAAATGCTCAATCAGTGTAGAAAGGAAAATTATTTGGTCTGTGGGTATTACAAAAAAAGTCAGAAGTCTTTGACCACCAAACTAAAACATTACTCCTAACATTAAAAGGCCTAAATCATAAAATTTCATGAAGGACATACCTTAATCCCGCAGTGATAAAATACTGTCTATGCACTGGGTGGACATGTACAGTTCTTATTTTGCTCAAAGAAGAATTGATAAGTTTCTCACAAGAAGTTCCAGGCGTCCGCCTATCCACTAGTGACATACTTCCATCCCAGTGACCTACTATTAAAGTGGAGGCGTCTTCTGCCAAGAAGTCAAAGGAGGAAAAGCTACTTCTTTCATCTCTATATACCTAAGGATATAAGTAACAATCAACTTATGTAACACTCTTCTTTTAAAGAAAGCCAATGCATAAATTCTTTGTTAAAAGAGTAACAAAACACTTAACCCAAATAACCTCATTTATCCTCCCATGATCTCCACAAGAAGCATAGGGCAAAATGGTAATCCCCTTAGATGGAAACTAAGGCACTGATCAGCTGTGAGACTGCAATCAAACAGCCCATCCACCCATGTCAGGGCTACATCCCAAATCTCTTAAATCCAATAAACCTCAGATGCAGATCTACCCTGTGAAACTTACTAGGAAATGGACTGAATCTGAATCTTACCCAGTTGAAATACCTTAATATACCAAGTAACTTTGCCAACTAAGTCCAAGGTATATGGCTTGAATGCTCACCTACTCTTGGTGGAAGTGTAAATAGATACAAAATTTTTACAGCAATCAGGACACATCTATCAAAATATTTAATGCTTATACATACCCTTTGACCCTGTAATTTCACTAAGATATATATAAGGATGCTTGCTGCCAGACTGCTTATAACAGCAATAAAAAGCAACCTAAACGTCCACCAAAAAAGATCTGGTTAAATCATGATGGTACATCTCTACTTTGAAATACCATGCAATGCTAAAAAAGAATGAGGTAGATTTGTGCTATTAACTGTCGAAGATATACTAGTAAATTAAAAAAGCAAGTTGCAAAAAACTATGTATATAGTGTGAACCCATTAGCACAAAGAAAAAAATCTGTATCTATATGCTTGTAAGTATATGTGTACTTTCTGGAGGCATACACAAAAAATACAAAGGTTACTTCGGGAGAGTGGGAATGGGGAAAGGGCAAATTTAGTTTGCACACCCTATTTACTGTAAGTTTGTGGGGGTTTTTTGGTTGCACTGGGTCTTCGTTGCGGGCTTCTCTCTAGTTGCAGCGTGCAGCTTTAGTTGCCCTGCGGCGTGTGGGATCTTAGTTGCCCGACCAGGGATCAAACCTGTGTCCCCTGCATTGGAAAGTGGATTCTTAATCACTGGATCACCAAAGAAGTCCCCTACTGTAAATATTTTATCATGAGCATGTATTATTGTTATAACTTTTTAATCACTTACAATCCACAATGTTATTACTTTGGGCTTAGGGCTCACACATATAAGGAATAAAAAATAAATGTTGTAGAATGTGTCAGTACTCAAGTAAGAGAGAATTACCACAATTCTTTTCACTTAATCATGAATTGCTACTGACTTTTAGTTTTAATAACAAGTATTACTATAAACTGAGATTAACAAATTAATACACCAAAGGTATCCCAACCCCTATACCAAAAAAAGCCCAATATACACAAATGAAACTTGAAGTATTCAGTCATTATATTAAAATGGTTAAGTGCAGGGGATTTGGAGTCAGAGAGACTCAAGTGCAAATTCTAGTTCTGCCTTTTATGTCCTTCAGCAAGCTAATAAACCTCTTTACCTCAGTTTTTTCAACTGTTAAATGGGGAGAACATTACCTATTTCATAGGGTGTTATTAGGCTTAATAATATATACAAAGCACACTCAGGTTAGTACCTAACACAAGGTAATTGTTCAATCAGTAGTATCAGAAGCAAATTACTGATACATGCAATATCATGGATGAATCTTAAAAACATTATGCTAGGTAAATAAAGCCAGACACAAAAAGCTACACACCATTTGATTCCATTTACTTGACATTCTAGAACAGGCAAAATTATAGGGACAGTAATCACATCAGTGGTTGCCAGAGGCTTCAGGAAGGGTGAGAGGACTGACTACAAAGGGTCATGAGGTAATTTTTCCAGGTGATGGAAATTTTTTATGTCTTGATTGCAGTGGTGGTTAAACAGGTATATACAATTTGCCAAAACTTATAAAACTGCACACCTAACAAAGGTACATTTTACAATATGTACTGTATACCTCAATAAACCTGACTTTTAAAAAAATAAATAAGTGGATAACTCTTACAACTCAATACTGAAAACACAGATAACCCAATTAAAAAATAGGCAAAAGATCCAAATTTCTCTAAATAATTACAAATGGCCAATAAGCAGATGAACATGCTCAGCATCATTAATCATTATGGAAACGCAAATCAAAACCACAATGAGATACCACTTCATACCCACAAGGTTGGCTATACTCACCAACAACAACAAGCGTTGGAAAAGATGTGGAGAAATGGGAACCCTCACATATTGCTGATGAGTATGTACAACAGTGAAGGCAGTTTGGGAAACAGCTTGGCAGTTCATCAGAATGTTAAACATAGAGTTACCATATGACCCAGCAATTACACTCCTAGGTATATACCCAAGTGAAATGAAAGCACACAAAACTTGTGTATGAATGTTCATAATGGCATTATTCGTAATAGTTAAAAATGGAAACAACCCAATTGTTCATCAACTAATGAATGGATGTGTAAGATGTGGTACAGCCACACAAGGGAATACTATTCAGCCACTAAAGAATGAAGTACTGACACATTCTACAACATGCATGAACCTTGAAAACATTTCGATAAGTATAGAAGCCAGTCACAAAAGACTATAAACTCTATGATTCCTTTTATATGAAATGTCCAGAACAGGCAAATATGTAGAGACAGAAAGTAGATTAGTGGTTTTCTAGGGCGAAAGGGGAAATCGGGAGTACTTGATAAGCAAGGGGTTTCTTTTGGAGGTGATAAGTATTCTAAAATTAGATTGTGGTGATAGTTTCACAACCCTATAAATACACTAAAAACCACTGGATTTTACACTTTCGAATGGTATGTGAATTATATATCTCAACAAAGTTGTATTAAAAAATAAGTACAGGGCTTCCCTGGTGGCGCAGTGGTTGGGAGTCTGCCTGCCGATGCAGGGGACACGGGTTCGTGCCCCAGTCTGGGAAGATCCCACATGCCGCGGAGCAGCTGGGCCTGTGAGCCATGGCCGCTGAGCCTGCGCGTCCGGAGCCTGTGCTCCGCAACAGGAGAGGCCACAACAGTGAGAGGCCCACGTACCGCAAAATAAATAAATAAATAAATAAGTACAATCAGTTATTATTAAGTGGCTGATAAAACATAGATGTACCTTCAAATTTCAAACTCCAACCTTCCTGTAAGAATATAAACAAATACAAAACAGAATGTGACTTGCATACATAACTGTATGGTATGCATTAATAACCAAATTGCTACCATTAAACAGTTTAAAGAGGACTTTTCACAAAAATTATTTCATTTAATCCATCCATTTCCAATAAGGATTTTAAATATCAATGTTGCTCTTAAAAACCTATTTTTAAAAAGGTAAAAATAGAAATTAAAAGAAAAAAAAGCAAAGACACCAGTAAAAAAAGAAACTGTTTCTTCTAATTGTCAGTAATTAGGAAATCAAGTCTGACCAGCAACACATTAACAGTCTTGAAAAGTCTTTTTTTCATATGGTTAAAAACAGACTTAAAAGAAATTAAACATCCTCATTTTTAAAAGAAAACTCAAAAACTATTAGCTCTCAAGAAGAGAGAAAAAGCCTTCCCAACTGTAAGAAAGATCATTTTAGGAGTTCAGTGAAGAACAAAAGCAGTTACGTATTATACTATAGCTATTAAAATAATTAGTTAAAAACTCTTTTATAAGTAATTATGAATCATCTATACATAGAATATTAAAATAATTACAAAGACAGAATGCGTTAACTTTGAGTACTGGCTTACATAAAAAAATTAAGGCATAAAATTAGATCATCAATTAGTATTTATGATGTTAAGCCATAATCAGTGATGATACCGTTTTCTTCATTGTCTATCACATATAAAATGCTCTTATACGGAGGACCTCTAAAAACTTTAAAAGTCCCATTCAAAATAAGCTAAAGAATGAAAACCTACATCTAAACCATCCTAAATTTCACAAAGATTAAAATCCATATAAAAAAAGAGTTTGATTTGTAGGAATTCTCTTAATGAGGAAATCTGATATGGTTAAGCAAATCTGAAAGCTCACTTGAAATATGTTTGTTGTAACATTAAGTAGTAGATATTTAAGTAGTAAACCAAAATGTAATCACTGGGATCCAATATTGTGAGGATTCCTCAGGCCTTTGGAAGCTTCTGGCCTACCCAACCAGAGATCAAACCAATTTGAAAACCTCCAAGGGGTAAGTAGTCTGGTTAACTTGGTAGGCTATCTCTGGGAGGATGGACGGTCACGAGTATGAGACCAACATCTTTCAACTATTCTTAAACTTCAACTTAATCTTACCTTGCAGGGGTTAGACTAGCCCAGGAAAAGACCTTATCCTCAATAGGTGGTTATGAATAAACCTGGCCTAAGATGTTCTGAATGAACCCGCTTAGGTGTCCATTTCTTGCCAGAGTACAATTATATGACATCGAATGGCAGTTTTTCATTCTAACTTCACCAGATAAAAACAGCTGAGCTAATCTCTCTACCATCAGCTATACATGGCATATAAGAGATGATAAATCTTAGCTAGAAGACAAAAAACCAAATTTTATAGTTTCTGTGTTATATTACTGGCCAAAAGTTTTGGACAATGTATTATAGAACTGTTATGTGATGAATTTCTCTAGTCTTTGTTGTCATATCTAAGATTCATCCCCACAAAATTCATATCTGCCAAGGCTAGAAATAATGAACAAAAGTATAATAATATTCCAATATTTTTTCCTGAATAAAAGAGGACAAGTTTTAAGCCTTAAAAGAGAATAAGTTATTTTATTTAAAAGCTTTCTGCAAAAATAAAAAATAAGAGCAAAAACTTACTATGTAACAGGCTCTGTTTTAAGTAAATGCTTTATCTACATTAACTCATTTAATCCTCATGACAATCCTATAAGGTAGATACTATTACCATTCCATTTCAAAACTAAGGAAATTGAAGCACAAAGAGGTTATGCAACTTACGAAGTTCACACAAATAGTAACAGATGGGATTTGAATTTAGGCAGTGTAGTTCTAAAGTCCCTATTCTACACCATCTCACCCAGTTTGATGGTATAATATAATCATTCATGTGGCATTTCATAAGGAATCCAGAATATCACCTGAGGTCCATATGCAAACATGTTAACATTTACCTCCTCAAAAACAGCTCTGGAAAAATCCCCACAGCGTAATGTGCCATCATAGCTCAGTGACAGCAGGTGAGCTGGATTGGCAGGCGAGAAGTAAAGACAGCTAACTGGTTGACTATGGGGTTGAAAAATATGAACTCCATCTTCTTTAGGTTGGTGAGTCTGGAATAGAGTTGGGGGGCGGGGAGAGAGACAAAAACTGGTGAAAAGCAGTAATATTTTCTACATCATTATGTCATTAAACTATTTGTTTGTATTATATTCAGTCTTAGTCTATAATTGTACCCACCTTCCCACTCAGAAAGTCAGAACTAGAAACTTTAGACTCTCACTAAGTTACTTTTTCCTAATTTTCAATCCAACAAAATTAAGTCACATTTATTTTAATAGTTTCCAGCTTTTTGCAACTAGCCAACTAGTTTTTCATAATACAGAGGGAAAAAAATTACTGCTTATAATGACTCCAGTTCATAAAATTCTCAGGAAATGTGAAATTTACTTTTATTTCACATGCAGGATAATTCGCGACTACCAAAACTTCTATCAATACCACTCCCACTTTGCTTGCTAAGTGTGCTTCTATACGAGTATGTCATTCTCAGCTCAATTTTCATAAGGTGTTTGGTCCTGGCACAAAATGATAGTTTTAAAAATATTTTAACCCCTAAATGCCCCATGAAAAATGCATGTGCTTGAGGGACTTCCCTGGTGGCGCAGTGGTTAAGAATCTACCTGCCAATGCAGGGCACATGGGTTTGAGCCCTGGTCTGAGAAGATTCCACATGCCGCAGAGCAACTAAGCTCATGCGCCACAACTACTGAGCCTGCGCTCTAGAGCCTGCAAACCACAACTACTGAGCCTGCGAGGCACAACTAGTAAGCCCACATGCCACAACTACTGAAGTCCACGAGCCTAGAGCCCATACTACACAACAAGAGGAGCCACCTCAACGAGAAGCCCACGCACAGCAACGAAGACCCAACCAAATATAAATAAATAAATAACAGCCAAAAATAAATAAATAAATAAATTTATTTTAAAAAATACAGGTACTTGAATTTCAGTAGTGATATTACTACTTCTAAGGATTATCGTTTCCACAACTGGATTAACAGCTCCGAAATCATCATTTTTTTGGATTTTGATGTTATATTCTTATGCCATATGTCATATTATGAACCAGAACAACTTTCATCTCTAAATCTAGCTTAGTCGGCTCTGAAATACTCAAACACTTTTGTTTTCGTCTTTTTTATTTAAGTTTTTAAATAAAGAGAAAAAAAATTTAAAGAAAATAAAGAAACATGAAAAGAGAAGGAAGGAAAAAAATTACAATCACACAAACTCCTCCTCCTACCCAGAGTTAACCACTGTTAACATTTTGGCATATTTGTCTATAGCATATATTTTTTAGAAAAACAAAACTCTCCATTGTTATAAGGAACTCAAACAAATATACAAAGAAATATACAAAGACAAAAGTTTTGAAAAATCATTCAAAACCCAAAATTGACCAAAATTATCATTAAAATACTAAGTGATCATTAAAGATGTCTATACATGTACTTACTTATACAGATAGAAGGACAGAGAAGAAATTTAGAGAAAAAAAAAAAAGGCCACTTTAAGTAGTATTAAATTTAACTATACTTTAGGGGCTTCCCTGGTGGTGCAGTGGTTAAGAATCCACTTGCCAATGCAGGGGACACGGATTCAAGCCCTGGTCCAGGAAGATCCCACATGCTGTGGAGCAACTAAGCCCATGTGCCAGAACTACTGAGCCTGCACTCTAGAGCCCTCAAGCCACAACTACTGAGCCTGTGTGCGACAACTACTGAAGCCTGCATGCCTAGAGCCCATGCTCTGCAACAAGTGAAGCAACCACAATAAGAAGCCCACACACCACAATGAAGAGTAGTCCCCGCTCACCACAACTAGAGAAAGCCCACGCACACCAACGAAGACCCAATGCAGCCATAAATAAATACAAAAAAAATTTTAACTATACTTTAAAATAATAAAAGAAAATCAAGCTGAAGGAATTTTTGAACTTCGAGTATTTCTTTACAAGAGCTATCTCCTAAGAAGGAAAAAGTAGAAAATATAAAGCAGTTTTAGTCATTACGCTTTTTAATTTAACTATGTATGTCTCAATTTTAGACAATTTCTATTGACTGAGAACATTATTCTCACGCCTCCTTCAATCTCCCCTTTCTCCATCTCTATATTTTGTTATTTTTGTTTTTTCCAGGTTAACAACATTCATATCCAGTTCTGTAACCATAATTCATATGGCTGTTTAATATTAGTTCTGTATTTAAATATTTATTTATTTCATTTATTTTTGGCTGCGTCAGGTCAGAGTTGCGGCACATGGGATCTTGATTGCAGCACGTGGGATTTTTCATTGCAGCACACAGGCTCTTCATTGTGGCACGCGGGTTTCTCTCTAGTTGTGGCGTGCGGGTTCTCTCTCTCTAGTTGTGGTGCGTGGGCTCCGTAGTTTGCGGCACACGGGCTCTCTAGTTGAGGCCCGCGGGCTTAGTTGCCCCACAGCATGTGGGATCTTAGTTCCCCAACCAGGGATTGAACCCACGTCCCCTGCATTGGAAGGCAGATTCTTTACCACTGGACCAGGGAAGTCCCAGTTCTGTATTTAAATGGATTCAATACTCATCATCAATTTTTCTGTCAAGCTTCTCCATTCCTGAATCCTTAATTTTGATTTACTTTCAACTGGCCAAGATTTGCTATCAAGCAGTTTTTTCCAAATAAACTCATAGGTCTTCAGTTTCTTGAGTTTTTTCAGATGTGAAAAGACCTACCTGCTGTCTTTACATTAGAATAATATCTTGGGCTGGGTATGTATTCCAGGCCACACTTCCTTCTCTCAGAACTTTGTAGACATTACATGAAATGTTGCTGTAGAAAACTGAGGCAAACCTGGCTTTTCCCCTTGAATATAATTTGTTTTTCCTGCCTAAAGAATTCTTTATCCTTTAAGTCCAAATCTTCCTAGAACATGGCATACACACTCAAATCTGCCAATCCAATTCTGTCTTTGCAGAAAATTCTATTTGAATATATTTTCTGTTACATTTGTTGGGTCATCTGTGACTGGCTTTCCTTTCCTTTTTTTTTTAAATGAATTTATTTATCTATCTATCTATCTTTGGCTGCCTTGGGTCTTGCTACTGCACACGAGCTTTCTCTAGTCGTGGCAAGTGGGGGCTACTCTTCATTGTGGTGCGCGGGCTTCTCATTGCAGTGGCTTCTCTTGTTGCAGAGCACAGGCTCTAGGCACATGGGCTTCAGTAGTTGTGGCTCATGGGCTCTAGAGTGCAGGCTCAGTAGTTGTGGCACACAGGCTTCATTGCTCCATGGCATGTGGGATCTTCCTGGACCAGGGATTGAACCCGTGTCCCCTGCATTGAGGGGCGGATTCTTAACCACTGCGCCACCAGGGAAGTCCTGGCTTTCCTTTTCTATTGGCTTTTCTCATAAAACTTTTTTCATCTGTGTTTGAGATTACCTCAGATATTTCCTTTAATATCTATAATTTCATTTTCAGCCATGTCTATTCTGTTCCTTTTGTCTAACTTATTAGTTTTACTGATCTTCAATTTGTTTCCTTAGTTCTACAGTCTCCTTTTTCATTTCATTCTGTTGTTTTATCACCTTATCTTTGAGTCTTATTTTACCAAATTAATGTTGATATTAACTTGCTCCACAGCAGCACTGTCCAAAAGAACTTTCTGAGATGACAAAAATGCTTTATGTATGCACTGTCCAATATGGTATCCACTAGTCGTGTGTGGCTATTAAGCACTTGAAATGTGCCTGGTGTAACTGAAGAACTGAATTTTCTATTTTAATTAATTTAAAAATAAATACACATATCCCCCACTTTTCAAAAGTTCGCTTTATGCCACTTTGCTCTTACAAAACACCTATATTAGTACCTATTTTTGCTAACTGAAGGGAATCCAAAGAAGATTTTTGCTTTTGTGAGAAAAGGTGAAAAATGAAAATAGTATTCAATGTCTGTTTTGCAGGAAGTTGTTACAGAGGCTTTATGTATAAAGCTATACATCTGACCTCTACCCACCTGTACAGCTTCCCCCTATTCCACTCATCCCTTCCGTTTATGCCTCTGCTGTTTATGCTCTAGCCACAGAGGCATTCTTTCAGAGGCATTCTTCAGGTCCTTAAATGTATCAAGCCGGCATCCTCCTGCCTAAGGTCCTTGACATGCTGTTCCTCTTGTGTGAAATGCTCTTTTCCCTTTCTTTGCTTGGCTTACTCCTACTTAGCTTTCAAATCTCAACTCAATTCTCACTTCCTCAGGGAAGCCTTCCCTGATCCTCAAAATCAGGCCAGTTCCCCTGTTATGTGTTTTTATAACACTACTTTTCCTCCACTCCATTAATCACAGTATATAATTCACTCCACTTATCAAACATGTAATTATTTCATTCATGCTGCTTTTGCCACTAAATTCTAAACTCCATAAGGACAGAGACAATCCTTCCTCACAAATATGGATGGGGAGTCATTAGAATAGTACTTAGGGGACTTCCCTGGTGGCTCAGTGGTTAAGAATCCGTCTGCCAATGCAGGGGACACGGGTTTGAGCCCTGGTCTGGGAAGATCCCACATGCTGCAGAGCAACTAAGCCCATGTACCACAACTACTGAGCCTGTGCTCTAGAGCCTGTGAGCCACAACTACTGAGCCTGCGTGCCACAACTACTGAAGACTACACACCTAGAGCCCGTACTCCACAACAAGAGAAGCCACCGCAATGAGAAGCCCGTGCACCCCAACAAATAGTAGCCCCTGCTCGCCGCAACTAGAGAAAGCCCACACGCAGGCTTGACCTGATACAGCCAAAAAATAAAGACCTAACACAGCCAAGAAATAAATATAGAAATAAATTTGTTTAAAAAAAGAGTACTTAGCACAAAATACTCAATAAGTGTGGAATGAATGAATGGGTGGGGTGACCGAATAAATGACAGCTCATCTTTTGATCCTAGGTGAGACTAGGAATCTGACAGAAGGTTAAGAGGAAAACTGAGGGACTGCCAAGACAATACAATGAGGTAAAAGGCTTTTCAACAAATAGTGCTGGGACAACTGGATATACACATACAAAAAAGATGAACTTGGGCCCTTACCTTACAGCATATACAAAAATAATTCAAAAAAAACAATTCAAGATGGATCAGTGAACTAAATGTGAAAGCTGAAACTATAAAATTTTTACAAAAAAACATAGGAGAAAATCTTTAAGACTTTGGGCTACACAAAAGATTTCTTAGATATGACACCAAAAACACAGTCCATTAAAAGTTTGATGAATCGGACATCACCAAAATTCAAAAATTTGCACTTCAAAAGATAGCATTAAGAAGATGAAAAGAAGAAATATTTGCAAATCACATATCTGATAAGGATGTGTATCTAGAATATACAAAGAACTCTTACAACTCAACAAGAAGACAAACAACCCAATAAAAAATTGACAAAAGATTTGAATAGACATTTCACCAAAGATATCCAAATGGCAGGAAAAGATTCTCAACATCATTAGTCATTAGAGAAATGCAAATCAAAACCACATGGAGATACAACTTCACTAGGAAGATACCACCCACTTGAAAGGCTATAATCAAAAAGACAGATAATAATAAATGTTGGTGAGCATGTAGAAAAATTTGAACCCTCATACATTGCTGGTAGGAATAGAAAATGATGCAGCCACCTTGGAAAGCAGGGTGACAGTTCCTCAAATGTTAACCAGTTACCATATGACCTAGCAATTCTACTCCCAGATACCTACCCAAGAGAAATGAAAACACAGACCTACACAAAAATGTGTACACAAATGTTTATAGTAGAATTATTCAGAATAGCCAAGAAGTGGAAACAACCCAAATGTCTATCAAATGATGAATGGATAAACAAAATGTGGTAAAATCAAACAATGGAATACTATTCAGCAATTAAAAAAGAATGAGGTGCTGATAGATGCTATAAAACAGATAAACCTTAAAACTATGCTAAAAGAGGGACTTCCCTGGTGGTCCGGTGGTAAAGAATCCACCTCCCAATGCAGGGGACACAGGTTCAATCTCTGGTTGGGGAACTAAGATCCCACATGCTGTGGGGCAACTAAGTCCACGTGCCACAACTACAGAGCCCACGAGCCCTGGAGCCTGCACACCACAACTAGCGAAAAACCCACATGCCACAACTAGAGAGAAGCCTGCGTGCCACAACAAAAAGCCCATGCCTCAATGAAAGATCCTGCACGCCTCAACAAAAGATCCCGCATGCCTCAACAAAGACCCCACATGCTTCAACTAAGACCCAATGCAGCCAAAATAAATTAATTAATTAATTAAAAAAAAATTATGCTAAAAGAAAAATGCCAATATAAAAGACCACATATTTTATGATTCTATTTATATGAAATGTCCAAAAAGTGCAAATTTGTGGAGATTTGCCTGGCGATAAGGGTAGAAACAGGGATTAAATGTAAGTAGACACAAGGAATCTTATAGGAATGATGAAAATGTTCTAAAACTGAATTATGGTGATATTTACACAACTCAATAAACTTATTAAAAATCATTAAACTGTACATTTTAAATGTGTAGATTTTATAAAATGTTAATTATACCTCAATAACGCTAAACTTTTTTTTAAAAAACGAGGGGAGTTTCGGAGTGAGCACAGGATAGCCAAGATAATGGTTTTAGACTCGCTCAGTCTGTTAATGAGATAGCCAGGTGTCCTGAAAAATTAGAAAGTTGATAAAAATATTGGACTACAGACACCCAATAATACAGATTTTTGGAGTCACCAGAAAAGACATGACAAAGGGACTTTCCTACATATCTTCAACACACCCTGAAAAGATCTTCACTTGACTATGCTAATTCTCTATTTTTCCTTTTCTAAGTTCTTCAACAAATAGTCTATCCATTGCTTCCATTTCTTCTTCCACCCCATACTTTTTTTAATCTCCTAAAGTCTGTGTTCCTTTCTTACCTTATTGTTGAAGCTATTCTCTCAGCTCACTTATGATACCTTATTTTCAAAACTAATGGCCCTTTTTCTGTTCCCATTCTTTTTAACTCATCTAAAAAAAAAAGCCCTGTCAAACTCCGATGCTTGAAATTCATCTCTTAGCTTATACAACCTTATACCATTTCTGGTCCTCTTCCCACTTCTCTGCTTCTGTTTTCTTTACCAAATCCTTTCACCTCCTACCCCCACTCACATTTTATCAAAATAAGGGAGAACCTATGCTCCCAAAATAAGAGAGAATTTGGTTTTCATTTCTTCTCTTCTCACTTACAAAATCCATTTTATTTATTAACCCCAAACCACTGCAAGTCACCATGATTTCTCCATCTCCATTAATTGTCCTTATGGCATTTTTCAGGTCTCTGTTCTACTTCCCCAATTAAAAACTAGGTTCAGAGAACATTAACTCGGCTTTTTTCAATTCTGTAAACACTGAAAGCAATCAATGCATTATTATATGTACAATGAATGAAATTTAATATCTGTTTCTAACTCATCAAAAAATGACTAGGGGGCTTCCCTGGTGGTGCAGTGGTTAAGAATCCACCTGCCAATGCAGGGGACACGGGTTCGAGCCCTGGTCCGGGAAGATCCCACATGCCGCGGAGCAACTAAGCCCATGCACCACAACTACTGAGCCTGCACTCTAGAGCCCGTGAGCCACAACTACTGAGCCCATGTGCCACAACTACTGAGCCTGCGTGCCTAGAGCCCATGCTCTGCAACAAGAGAAGCCACCACCATGAGAAGCCCGTGCACCGCAATGAAGAGTAGCCCCCGCTCCCTGCAACTAGAGAAAGCCCACACGCAGCAATGAAACCCAATGCAGCCAAAAATAAATAGACAAAAAATAAATTAATTAAAAAAAAAATTACTAGGATCATCCTAAGAAGATCCTTGGGAAGATATTTTGATCCAGCTTGGAAACTATATTTTAAACATAATTAGAAACCTAAGAACTTTGTATGATCTTTTCATATACACATTTAAAGTTGTAATAAACTTTCCTGGCAGGAATTTATGCCCAGATGACTAAAGATATTCAAGCTAAAAATGTTAAAGTTCTACAAAGCAAATTTAAATTCCTCTAGGTTTCTAAAATTTGGAATCACAAAGCACAAAACTATAAATCTCAAGTGACATCTAGAAACACATGGCTCTAGGCTATTCTTTCGCAGACTATTTGCTTCAAATGTTAATATCTTCAAAACAATTAATAATAACTTACCAAATCCCAAAGCCCAACTTGTCCAGATCTGGCCCCAGCTGCCACCAAAGTTCTAATTTCTGATGGGTGGAGAGCCATTGAGAATATTGGGCCTTTGGTAACTTTATAAACAGTATCTTCACTAATGATCATGCCATTTAAATTGGCTTTGTAGCTGAGAAGATTAAAAAGTTAAATTTTAGAAGTAAAACCAAACTCAGTAGTCAAGACAAGTAAAAGATGATTCGAAAAAGTAAAATCACAATTAGTAAATGTGGGAAAATATTCAACTTCCTGGCAACCAAGGAAATCAAACTAAACAATGGGGTACTATTTTTCACTTATAAAAGCTAAGAGGCTATAGTTAAACATACATTCATATATATTGCTAACAGCAGAGTAAATTCATTTAAGATTTTCAGAAATTTTTTAAAAAGATTTTGGAAAACAATCCGGCATTTCCTAAAAGCCATGAAAATGTCCATAATATTTGACACATTAATCTCACTTCTGGAATCTACCCTAAGGAAATAATCGACTATCACAATATAAATTTCAACAAACACACATACAAACAATCAAAACTAAATAGAAAACAATTTCAAATACCAAGGGAGTAAGAGGAGGTTAAGTAAATTCTATCTGCTAAATCAAATATTATGCAATTATTCAATAAATTTAAAGACTCTAGTAACATGCAACCACAATGTTAATAGAAAAGCATAATGCAAAACTGTACATATATTAGAACATAAAAAAGTAAAAATGTATGTGATATCACTCATTTATTAAACACTGAATGAATATATACTATGTGAAATGCACTTTTCTGGTTATTGAGACAAAATCCATGCATTCATGAAGCTTATATCCTAGTGGTATTGCATATGGTGATACACGAAAGGAAATATACAAAAACAACAGTTGTTAGGGTAGAAATACGATGGAAAATTTTTCTCACCTCTTTCAAATTTCCTGTAATGGTATAGTCTTTAAGTTATAAAGATCCCAGAAAATGTAAACCAAAGGCAAGGAATTTTAACTCACCTTTTAATGCTAGATAACTCCTTCTCGGTGTTTTTACTTCTTGTCTGAAACAACGGGAGAAACCAAAGCACTAAGTTAATATATGTACTAAAATTTGCTTAACAGATGATTCTAAAAGCTTGGGCTTACCCTCCCAAGTGATACCTTGCTCACTTCTGCCCAAGTCTGCAGAAATCCTTTAAATAGTTCACTGTTATCATCTCGATTTTCAGAAGTCATTTCTAAAGGTCCAGGAGGTAACAAAGGCTGTTATAAAAAATAAGAAAAAAAAGTTGGTTGTCGCTCTGCCCTAGAATGTAAGCTTAAGATTTCTTACTACTTTACTTTCAATACCAACAACAGTGGTGACACATAGTTAGCATTCAAAAACAGTTGTTCAATGAATGAATGCCAATTATCCTGTAAAGTAATAACATGTATTATCTCATTTAATCCCCTTAATAATCCAGTGAATGAGATATCACATTATAAAGACAGTGGAATGAAACTTAGAGAAGTTAATTTGTCCAAAGTTACACTGCCAGTACCTGGGAATTGATTCAGATCAGTTCAATTTCATACCTCAAAGTTATTACTCTATGTGTTTTTTATTTTTTATTTTTTTAACTGAAGCATAGTTGATTTACAATGTTGTGTCCATCTCTGCTATACAGCAAAGTGACTCAGTTATACACATTCTTTTTTCCTATTCTTTTCCATTATGGTTTATCACAGGATACTGAATATAGTTCCCTGTGCTATACAGTAGGACCTTGTTTACCCATCCTATATATAATAGTTTACATCTGCTAATCCCAAACTCCCAGTCCTTCCCTCCCCCACTGCCCCCCCAGCCGGCAACCACAAGTCTGTTCTCTATTTCTGTGAGTTTCTGTTTTGTAGATAGGTTCATTTGTGCCATATTTTAGATTCCACATATTAAGTGGTATCATATGATATTTGTCTTTCTCTTTCTGTATGTCAGTGTTTTTTAAATCACTGGTTGTAACCCATAGGTCATGAAATCATTTTAATACATTACAACCAACAGTGTGTTTTAGTGACTGAGAAAAGAACAGACTAGGAAATACAAAAGTGTATCACATGTAGTAAGGATAAGTATCATTTCACAAAAGTTTTGTTTCGTGTGTGTGTGTGTGTGTGTGTGTGTGTGTGTGTGTGTGTGTGGAACGGGTTCAATGCAAATGTATTTCTTATCATGGATGGATGGAGGCTTCAAAAAAATTTGAAAGCTACTCTTCCCCTAGTAACTTAATTTGCAATTAGCTCTCAAAGCACCAGGCTAATCTTCCAATTTATAATTAAGCACTTAGATACAAAGTATTAAAAACAGTAGGTGCAATAAAAAATAAAAAAAAACCAGTAGGTGCTCCTGAATAAAAAATATACTCATAATCTTATTTAGACAATAAATTTGGTAAATAAAACTCTTTCCACTCACTGATAGAGTAAAATTAAACTACAGTAAGAGAACCCCATCACTACTGACATATATTATTTATTACTAATAATATTAATAACTACCATTTATTGCTTACTAAGTCCTTAATATAAATGTAAGAAACTTTATAGATACTATATCATTTATCCCTCACAACACCTCTTTGAGAGGTTTCTGCTATTGTTGCCATTTTAAAAATGGGGAGGGCTTCCCTGGTGGTGCAGTGGTTGAGAGTCTGCCTGCCAATGCAGGTGACAAGGGTTCGTGCCCCGGTCCGGGAAGATCCCACATGCCGCGGAGCGGCCAGGCCCATGAGCCATGGCCACTGAGCCTGCGCATCCGGAGCCTGTGCTTAGCAATGGTAGAGGCCACAACAGTGAGAGGCCCGCGTACTGCAAAAAAAAAAAAAAAAAAAGGGGAAACTGGGGCTCAGAAAGACTAAGGAATTTACCCACAATCCCACACAGGGTAAGTCTGCAGAAATATAGAACCCAAGCCAGTCTCTTATGAGTTTGAAATCTTACTCATTAAACCATACAACAGCCAAGTATTAAATTAATGATGCACAAATTAAACATAATTTAATGACTTTTTACTCTACTTTCAAACACTTCAAATTTTTGAGTACTTTATTGGTTAATATATTGTATTTGCACTCTTTCTTACATTTTCATCTGCTACTAATATTGGCTGGGTTGGAGTTGCTGGTAATGAAACTCCTGAAGGATCGACTTTTAGTAATCGCATTGACCTTCTACATCCAGTCTCATTTTCTTTCTTCTTAGGCTTCTTTCTAAAGGAGTGGGGGAAAAAAATCATGTTATACTCATAAAAGTTATATGTATTTATTAATATCAAGGAGATAACGTCTAGTAATCTATCTCACAGATATATTCACACATTGCAAAGATGTATATACATGGCTACACTGATTTTTTTTTTTTTTCTTCGCCACACTGCACAGCATGTGGAACTTTCCCAACCCAGGATCAAACCTGTGCCCCCAGCCATGGAAGCATGGAGTCTTAACCACTGGACCACCAGTGAAGTCCCTACACTGATTTTAATTAAAAGCCTGGAAACATCATAAATGTTCATCATGGGGAAGTGAGGGGTGTTAAATAAATTATGACATACATACCTAGCACAATATTATGCAGTCATAAAAAAAGAAATAGATTTTTGTGTGCTGATATGACATGAACTCTAAGATACAAGAAGCAAAAACAAGGTCCAGCACATGTTGAATATGGTTCCATTAGCTTTTGTTTTGTTTTTTGTTTTTGTTTTTGTTTTTGTGGCACACGGGCCTCTCACTGCTGTGGCCTCTCCCGTTGCGGAGCACAGGCTCCGGACACGCAGGCTCAGCGGCCATGGCTCACGGGCCCAGCTGCTCCCCGGCATGTGGGATCTTCCCGGACCAGGGCATGAACCCGCGTCCCCTGCATCAGCAGGCGGACTCTAAACCACCGCGCCACCAGGGAAGCCCCCCATTTGCTTTTTTACAAAATATATACACATACATTTGTAACTGCTGAGATTACCTATGGAAGAATACACATGAAACTATTAACAGTGGTTTCCTCTAGGGAAAAGGCCTGGAGAACTAAGGTCCAGGATAGGAAAGAGACTTAAATGTTTCATTGCATTGCCTTCCATATTTTAAAATCATTTTTAAATTTTTAAAATCATATACATACCCTACTTTTTATGCATTATTTTTTTATTTTAAAAAAGTAGTTCAGAACTTCCAGTTTCCAGTTCCAAATTTAAAGAGCTTGAAAGTCACTGCACTGTCTATCAAGTAAAAAGCTGAACAGACTGAAAAATCAACTCTTCTAGGATCCTTAAGAGAAATGAGGGCACAGTAGAAACTGCTGAGCCTACTATTGGAGAGACAGACAGGCAAATGCAAGAAGTCATGGCTTATTGGAGTAGACTTAGAAATGGAAACCATCATGGGAACCAGCAGCAGGGTAGGAAAGCCTGAACTGTAATTGACCAATTGCTGGAGGTTCAGTGTACACAAGTCTGAGAGTTAAAAACTCCATGGAAAACTAGACAGCTACATGTAAAAGAATAGAACTAGAACATTTTCTTACACCATATACAAAAACAGACTCAAAATGGATTAAAGGCGGGCTTCCCTGGTGGCGCAGTGGTTGGGGGTCCGCCTGCCGATGCAGGGGACACGGGTTCATGCCCTGGTCTGGGGGGATCCCGCATGCCGCAGAGCGGCTGGGCCCGTGAGCCTATGGCAGCTGAGCCTGCGCACCCGGAGCTTGTGCTCTGCAACGGGAGGGGCCACAGCAGTGAGGGGCCTGCATACCAAAAAAAAAAAAAAAAAAAAAAAATGGATTAAAGGCTTTAATGTAAGACCTGAAACCATAAAACTCCTAGAAGAAAACACAGGTACTACACTCTTTGACATTGTTCTTAGCAATATTTTTTGGATGTGTCTCCTCAGGCAAGAGCAACAAAAGCAAAAAATAAACAAATGGGACCTAATCAAACTTAAAAGCTTTTGCAAAACAAAGGAAACCATCAACAAAATGAAAAGGCAACTGACTGAAGGGAAGAAGATTTGTGCAAATGATAGTCCAATAACGGATTAATATCCAAAATATATAAACAGCTCATACAACTCAAAAACAAAAAAAATCTGATTAAACAATGGGTAGAGGACCCAAAGAAGACATAGAGATGGCCAACAGGCACAAATGAAAAGATTAGATCATCAGGGAAATATAAATGAAAACCACACTGAGCTATCACCTCACACCTGTGAGAACGGCTATCATCAGAAAGACCACAAATAACAAGTGTTGGCAAGGATATGGAGAAAAGGTAACCTCTGTACACTGTTGGTGGGAATGTAAATTTGTGCAGCTACTGTGGAAAACAGTACAAATGTTCCTCAAAAGACTAAAAATAAAACTATCATATTATCCAGTAATTCCACTCCTGGGAATTTATGCAAAGAAAAGAAAAACACTTGTTCAAACAGACACATGCAGGACTTCCCTGGTGGTGCAGTGGTTAAGAATCTGCCTGCCAATGAAAGGGACACGGGTTCGAGCCCTGGTCCGGGAAGATCCCACATGCCACGGAGCAACTAAGCCCGTGCACCACAACAACTGACCCTGTGCTCTAGAGCTCATAAGCCACAACTACCGAGCCTGCGCGACACAACTACTGAAGCCCATAAACCCTAGAGCCCATGCACCGCAAGTATTGAGCCCATGCACCACGCCTGCTGAAGCCCGCGTGCTCTAGGGCCCGCATGCCACAACTACTGAGCTCGTGTGCTACAACTACCAAAGCCCGTGTACCTAGAGCCCATGCTCCGCAACAGGAAAAGCCACCGCAATGAGAAGCCCACGCACCGCAACAAAGAGTGGCCCTCGCTCACTGCAACTAGAGAAAGCCTGCACGCAGCAACAAAGACCCAGTGCAGCCAAAAAAAAAAAAAAATACATGCACCCCAATGTTCATAGCAGCATTTTTTATAATAGACAAGATATGGAAGCAACCTAAAAGTTCATCAACAGATGAATGGATAAAGAAGATGTGGTATGTATGTGTATATATATATATATATACACACACAATGTAATACTACACAGTCATAAAAAAGTGAAGTTTTCCCATTTGCAACAACATGACTGAAACTGGAGGCTATTATGCTTAGTGAAATAAATCAGACAGAAAAAGACAAATACTGTATGTTATCACCTACATGTGGAATCTGAAGCATAAAACAAATGAATTAATATAACAGAACAGAAACAGACTCAGATATAGAGAACAAACTAGTGGTTACCAGTGGGAGAGGGAAGAGGGGAGGGGCAAGATAGGGGTAGGAGGTTAAGAGGTACAAACCACTTTGTACAAAATAAATAAGCTACAAGGATATATTTATAGCACAGGGAATACAGCCATCATTTTATAGTAACTATAAATGGAGTATAATCTATAAAAAATTTAAATCACCATGTTGTACACCTGAAAATAATATAATATTGTAAATCAACTACACTTAAACTGTACTGCTATGAAACCTAATATGAAGACCAAAAATTTGAAATGATCTCTGGCCCATGGCCTTAAAAAGACTGTAACCAGTTCCTTTTAACTTAAATGTTACCACTTTAGCTTAACAATGAGGTATAAAACAAAACCAAGTATACTTGTTATATACTTGGTTAAATACTGGTTAAATTTACCAAAGACTCCTCCAGAAGTCTTTGGTAAATTTAACATTCATTATTAACTTTAATAGTATTAAAATATTATAAGTAATGTGCCAATTTCAAAGTCCTCTAAATCTTTTGTCACAAAGATATTTATAGCACTGTAAACAGAACTAAAGCTTGATATCATATATTATTAAAACTGACATTTATCTCCAAAAGAATTTGACCTATGGTGACTGAACTCCGAAAAAAGTAAAAAGACTGGTAGTTGGAGAAAAGTAGATCTCTCACATTACTTAGTCAATGGCAGCTCCATTGTAATCTAGCCTTAATCTTTTTGCTGAAACGATCTAAATAACAAAAGATCCATAATAAAAATATTTTTTAAAAAAGAAATGAGCTATTAAGCCATGCAAAGACATGGGAGAACCTTAAATGCATATTACTAAAAAAAGCAGCCAACCTGAATGAGACTACATACTGTATGATTCCAAATACATGACTGACATTCAGGAAAAGGCAAAACTATGGAGACAAAAAAGATCAGTGATTGCAAGGGGTGAGGGTGATAAGGGATGAAAAGGCAGAGCACAGAGGATTTTAGGGCAGTGAAATACTCTGTACATTATAATGATAGATATATGTCATTATACATTTGTACAAACCCAAAGAATGAACAACACCAAGAGTGAACCCTAAGGTAAACTACAGATCTGGGGTGATTATGATGTATCAAGGTAGGTTCATCCTTGGTAACAAACGTATCACTCTGGTGAGTGATTCTGATAATGGGAGAAGCTATGCATGTGTCGGGCAGGGGATGGAAATCTCTGTAACTTACTCTCAATTTTGCTGTGAAACTAAAACTGCTCTAAAAATAAAATCTTAAAAAAAAAGAAACCTCAAGGGGGCCTCACCCCCACAATTTTGTAAGATTTATATCCAGGAGCTTGACCAGGCCCTCAAAGTAAATATCAGAGAAAATCTCCTCATGCTTCTAGCAGGGGGAGGAGAAAAGGAAGAATTTTGAAATAGGCCAGCACTCTGTTCTGCCCTCAGGAGAAATCAGTTAACCAGAGCCTAATCTGCTAGGGTACTGTCAGAGGCTAACTGACCTGGGGAAGGGAAATACCCAACAGCAGCCCACTCTTGCCATCTTGTCCAACCTAAGGAGAGAGGAAAAAAACTAAAACACTTGTGAAGTTCACAATCCAAAGATATAGGTTCAGTCAGAGACTGAGAACTAATAACAAGACTACAGAATGCTCCCCTCCCCCAACATCTCACCACCACATTGCTAAAGACCTATTTATAACAGTTACTTTTTCTTGGTACATCATGTCCAGTTATCAAGAAAAAATTACAAGACACACTGAAAAGCAAAAAACACAATTTAAAGAAACAGAGCAAGCTTCAAAACCAGACATGGCAGAAATGTTGAAATTATCACACTAAGAATTTAAAACAACTGTGATTAACATGCTAAGGGCTCCAATGGATAAAACAGACACCATGAAAGAACAGATAAGCAATGTCAGCAGAGGGATGTAAATACTAAGAAAGAACCAAAAAGAAATGCCAGAGATCAAAAACACTATAATAGAAATGAAGAATGCCTTTGATGGGCTCAGTAATAGACTGGACATGGCTGAGGAAAGAATCTCCGACCTTGGGGATATCTCAATAGGAATCTCTAAAACTGAAAAGCAAGGAGAAAAAGACAAAAAACAGAACAGAATAACCAAGAACGTAGATAACAAAAAAGTATAACATATAAATAATGGGAATACAAGAAAGAAAAAAAGTAACAGAAGAAATATTTGAAATAATCACTGAAAATTCCCCCAAATTAGTGTCAGACACCAAACCACAGATCTAGAAAGCTCAGAGAACATCAAGCAAGATAAATGCAAAAACAAAAATGAAAACAAACAAAGAAATCCTACAACTAGGCAATTCATTTCCAAACTACAGAAAAATCAAAGATAAAATCCTGAAAGGAGCCAGAAGGAAAAACCACTTTACCTACAGAGAACAAAGACTGAAATTAAATCTATCTTCTCAGAAACCATGCAGGCAAAGAGAGAGTGAACATATTTAAAGTGCTGAGAGAAAAGAAAAACCCAACCTAGAATTCTGTACCCTGGGAAGTTATCCATCAAAGGAAAAGCAAATTAGGAACTTCTGAGACAGTGAACACAGAGAGATGCTAGAAGAGTGATGCTCTCAGAGAGAGATGGAAGCTCCGTGCCATTTCCCCATGCCTTGCCTGATGCATCTATCCCATCTGGCTGGTCCTGAGTCATATCCATTGTAATAAACAGCACAAGGTGAGTGGTGCTCTTGAGAACCTTCTGTGATTACTACTCACACCTTTTCCAGGGACACTTTCTTAAAAGGACCAACAAGCATCCAGTTTACTCAGATATAATCCCAGATTCATGGAGTTGTTGCTGACCAGATTACACCTGTATCACTAAGACTGGAGTTTCCAGACAAAAAGACAAGATGGCACAGTAGAAGGAACTGAGCTCACCTCTTCTTACATAATCACCAAAATCACAACTAACTGCTGAACAACCATCAACAAAAACACGCTGGAAGCTGCGAAAAGATACCCTACATCCAAAGACAAAGAAGAAGCCACAAGGAGCTGGTACAAGGGGCACAATCACAATAAAATCAAATCCCATATCTGCCAGGTGGATGACTAACAAACTGGAAAATAATTATACCACAGAAGTTCTCCCACAGGAGGGAGAACCCCACATCAGCATCTACAGCCTGGATTTCTGGCAATGGGAGAAGAAGCCCCCAGAGAACCTGGTTTTGAAGGCCAGTTTGATCGCAGGAATTCCACAGGACTGGGGAAACACAAATTCCACTCTTGGAGGGCACACACAAGGTCTCATGTGCACTCATCTGCACTCTGTGCCAGACCTACCTGCCAATAATGGAGGGTCTCCATTGGAGGCAGGGGTGGCTGTGGCTCACTGCAGGGACAAAGACACTGGCAGCAGTAGTTCTGGGGAGTACTCATCAGTGTGAGCCTTCCTGGAGGCCACCAATTTCTCACCAAGACCTGGCCCCACCCAACAACCTGAAGCTTCCATTACTGGGACCCCATGGCCAAACAACCAACAGGGTGGGACACAGCCCCACCCATCAGCAGACAGGCTACTTAAAGTCTTCCTGACCACACAGCTGCCCACTAAACACACAGCATGACCCAGCCCTGCCCAACAGAGGGACAAGACCCAGCTCCACACCCCAGTGGGCAGTAACCAGTCCCTCCCACCAGAAAGCCTGCACAAGCCTCTTAGACAGCCTCATCCACCAGGGAGCAGGCAGAAGAAGGAAGAAGAAATACAACCCTGTAGCCTGCATAATGGACACCGCAATCACAGGAAGTTAGACAAAATGAGACAGCAGAGAAACATATCCCACACTAAGGAACATGATAAAAGCCCAGAAGAACAATTAAATGAAGTGGAGAAAGGCAATCTACCTGAAAAAGAATTCAGAGTAATGATAGTGTAGATGATCCAAGATCTCAGAAAAAGAATGGAGGTACAGATTCAGAAGATACAAGAAATGTTTAATGAAGAGCTAGAAGAACTAAACAACAAACAAACAGAAATGGACAATACAATAACTGAAATGAAAAATACACTAGAAGGGGGCTTCCCTGGTGGCGCAGTGGTTGAGACTCCACCTGCCGATGCAGAGGACACAGGTTCGTGCCCCGGTCTGGGAAGATCCCACATGCCACAGAGCGGCTAGGTCCGTGAGCCATGGCCGCTGAGCCTGCGTGTCCGGAGCCTGTGCTCCGCAACGGAAGAGGCCACAACAGTGAGAGGCCCGGGTACAGGAAAAAAAAAAAAAAAAAAAACACTAGAAGGAAGCACCAACAGAATAACTGAGGCAGAAGAAAGAATGAGCAAGCTAGAAGAAAGAATGGTGGAAATCACTGCTGCAGAATAAAATAAAAAATAAAAAGGAATGAGGAAAGATGGTGGAGGAGTAAGACGTGGAGATCACCTTCCTCCCCACAAATACATCAAAACTACATCTACATGTGGAACAATTCCTATAGAACACATACTGAATGCTGGCAGAAGACCTCAGACTTCCCAAAAGGCAAGAAACTCCCCACATACCTGGGTAGGGCAAAAGAAAAAAGGAAAAGCAAAGACAAAAGAATAGGGATGGGACCTGTACCTCTGGGAGGGAGCTGTGAAGGAGGAAAAGTTTCCACACACTAGGAAGCCCCTTCACTGGTGGGGATTGGGGGGGGGGTGGAAGTTTCGGAGCCACGGAGGAGAGCAGAGCAACAGGGGTGGAGAGGGCAAAGCGGAGAGATTCCTGCACAGAGGATTGGTGCCGACAGTACTCACCAGCCTGAGAGGCTTATCGGCTCACACACCGGGGTGGGCGGGGGCTGGGAGCTGAGGCTCGGACTTCAGAGTTAAGATCCCAAGGAGAGAACTAGGGTTGGCTGTGTGAACACATCCTGAAGGGGGATAGTGCACCACAGCTAGCCGGAAGGGAGTCTGGGAAAAAATCTGGACCTGCCTAAAAGGCAAGAGACCATTGTTTCAGGGTGCGCAAGGAGAGATGATTCAGAGCACCGCCTAAACGAGCTCCAGAGACAGGTGCGAGCCGCGGCTATCAGCAGGGACACCAGAGACGGGCATGAAATGCTAAGGCTGCTGCTGCAGCCATCAGGAAGCCTGTGTGCAAACACAGGTCACTATCCATACCTCCCCTCCTGGGAGCCTGTGCAGCCCGCCACTGTAGGGTCCCGTGATCCAGGGACAATTTCCATGGAAGAACACATGGCATGCCTCACGCTGTTGCAACGTCACACCGGCCTCTGCCACCACAGGCTCTCCCTGCATTCCGTACCACTCCCTCCCCCCAGTCTGAGTGAGCCAGAGCCCCCTAACCAGCCGCTCCTTTAACCCGTCCTGTCTGGGTGGAGAAGAGATGCCCTCAGGTGAGCTACACGCAGAGATGGGGCCAAATCCAAAGCTGAACCCCAGGAGCTGTGTGAACAAAGAAGAGAAAGGGAAATTTCTCCCAGCAGCCTCAGGAGCAGCAGATTAAATCTCCACAGTCAACGTGATGTACCCTGTATCTGTGAAATGACAACGAATCATCCCAAAATTGACACAGTGGACTATGGAAGCAACTGTAGACTTGGGGTTTGCTTTCAGTATCTCATTTGTTTCTGGTTTTATGTTTCTCTTAGTTTAGTATTTTACAGCTTATTATAACTGGTAGACTTGTTTACTGATTTGGTTGCCCTCTTCCTTTTTACATTTTATATAATTTTTTTCCCTTTTTCTCTTTTTGTGAGTGTGTATGTGTATGCTTCTTTGTGTGATTGTCTGTATAGCTTTGCTTTTGCCATTTGTCCTAGGGTTCTGACTGTCCGTTTTGTGTTTTGTTTTGTTTTTTTGCGGTACGTGGGCCTCTCACTGTTGTGGCCTCTCCCGTTGCGGAGCACAAGGCTCTGGACACACAGGCTCAGCAGCCATGGCTCACGGGCCCAGCTGCTCCACGGCATGTGGGATCTTGCCAGACCAGGGCACGAACCCATGTCCCCTGCATCGGCAGGCGGACTCTCAACCGCTGCACCAACAGGGAAGCCCCGTTTTGTTTTTTAGTATACTTTTTAGCGCTTGCTATCATTGGTGAATTTGTTTTTTGGTTTGGTTGCTCTCTTCTTTCTCTCTCCTTTTTTTTATTACTTTTTAATTTTTTTTCTATTTTAATAACTTTATTTTACTTTATTTTTTTTTTCCTTTCTTTCATTCTTTTTCTCCCTTTTCTTCTGACCCATGTGGCTGACAGGGTCTTGGTGCTCTGGCCGGATGTCAGTCCTGAGCCTCTGAGGTGGGAGAGCGGAGTTCAGGACACTGGTCCACCAAAGACCTCCCAGCCCCACATAACATCAAACAACAAAAGCTCTCCCACAGATCTCCATCTCAACGTTAAGAACCAGTTCTACTCAACGAACAGCAAGCTACACTGCTGGACACCCTATGGCAAACAACTAGCAACACAGGAACACAACCCCACCCATTAGCAGAGAGGCTGCCTAAAATAATAATAAGGTCACGGACACCCCAAAACACACCACCGGATGTGGTCCCACCCA